GCCATGGTGTGGGTGGATACCCAGAGGGAACAAGGGATGGAGAGCAGCAGCTGCCCTCTCTTCTTCTGCCATGGTGTGGGTGGACACTCAGAGGGAACAAGGGATGGAGAGCAGCAGCTGCCCTCTCTTCTTCTGCCATGGTGTGGGTGGACACTCAGAGGGAACGAGGGATGGAGAGCAGCAGCTGCCCTCTCTTCTTCTGCCATGGTGTGGGTGGACACTCAGAGGGAACGAGGGATGGAGAGCAGCAGCCGCCCTCTCTTCTTCGGCCATGGTGTGGGTGGACACTCAGAGGGAACAAGGGATGGAGAGCAGCAGCTGCCCTCTCTTCTTCTGCCATGGTGTGGGTGGACACTCAGAGGGAACGAGGGATGGAGAGCAGCAGCTGCCCTCTCTTCTTCTGCCATGGTGTGGGTGGACACTCAGAGGGGACGAGGGATGGAGAGCAGCAGCTGCCCTCTCTTCTTCTGCCATGGTGTGGGTGGACACTCAGAGGGAACGAGGGATGGAGAGCAGCAGCTGCCCTCTCTTCTTCTGCCATGGTGTGGGTGGACACTCAGAGGGAACGAGGGATGGAGAGCAGCAGCTGCCCTCTCTTCTTCGGCCATGGTGTGGGTGGACACTCAGAGGGAACGAGGGATGGAAAGCAGCAGCTGCCCTCTCTTCTTCTGCCATGGTGTGGGCGGACACTCAGAGGGAACGAGGGATGGGGAGCAGCAGCTGCCCTCTCTTCTTCTGCCATGGTGTTGGTGGACACTCAGAGGGAACGAGGGATGGAGAGCAGCAGCTGCCCTCTCTTCTTCGGCCATGGTGTGGGTGGACACTCAGAGGGAACAAGGGATGGAGAGCAGCAGCTGCCCTCTCTTCTTCGGCCATGGTGTGGGTGGACACTCAGAGGGAACAAGGGATGGAGAGCAGCAGCTGCCCTCTCTTCTTCTGCCATGGTGTGGGTGGACACTCAGAGGGAACGAGGGATGGAGAGCAGCAGCTGCCCTCTCTTCTTCTGCCATGGTGTGGGTGGACACTCAGAGGGAACGAGGGATGGAGAGCAGCAGCTGCCCTCTCTTCTTCTGCCATGGTGTGGGTGGACACTCAGAGGGAACGAGGGATGGAGAGCAGCAGCTGCCCTCTCTTCTTCTGCCATGGTGTGGGTGGACACTCAGAGGGAACGAGGGATGGAGAGCAGCGGCTGCCCTCTCTTCTTCTGCCATGGTGTGGGTGGACACTCAGAGGGAACGAGGGATGGAGAGCAGCAGCTGCCCTCTCTTCTTCGGCCATGGTGTGGGTGGACACTCAGAGGGAACAAGGGATGGAGAGCAGCAGCTGCCCTCTCTTCTTCGGCCATGGTGTGGGTGGACACTCAGAGGGAACAAGGGATGGAGAGCAGCAGCTGCCCACTCTTCTTCGGCCATGGTGTGGGTGGACACTCAGAGGGAACAAGGGATGGAGAGCAGCAGCTGCCCTCTCTTCTTCGGCCATGGTGTGGGTGGACACTCAGAGGGAACAAGGGATGGAGAGCAGCAGCTGCCCTCTCTTCTTCTGCCATGGTGTGGGTGGACACTCAGAGGGAACGAGGGATGGAGAGCAGCAGCTGCCCTCTCTTCTTCGGCCATGGTGTGGGTGGACACTCAGAGGGAACGAGGGATGGAGAGCAGCAGCTGCCCTCTCTTCTTCGGCCATGGTGTGGGTGGACACTCAGAGGGAACGAGGGATGGAGAGCAGCAGCTGCCCTCTCTTCTTCGGCCATGGTGTGGGTGGACACTCAGAGGGAACAAGGGATGGAGAGCAGCAGCTGCCCTCTCTTCTTCGGCCATGGTGTGGGTAGACACTCAGAGGGAACAAGGGATGGAGAGCAGCAGCTGCCCTCTCTTCTTCTGCCATGGTGTGGGTGGACACTCAGAGGGAACAAGGGATGGAGAGCAGCAGCTGCCCTCTCTTCTTCGGCCATGGTGTGGGTGGACACTCAGAGGGAACGAGGGATGGAGAGCAGCAGCTGCCCTCTCTTCTTCGGCCATGGTGTGGGTGGACACTCAGAGGGAACAAGGGATGGAGAGCAGCAGCTGCCCTCTCTTCTTCGGCCATGGTGTGGGTGGACACTCAGAGGGAACAAGGGATGGAGAGCAGCAGCTGCCCTCTCTTCTTCGGCCATGGTGTGGGTGGACACTCAGAGGGAACAAGGGATGGAGAGCAGCAGCTGCCCTCTCTTCTTCGGCCATGGTGTGGGTGGACACTCAGAGGGAACAAGGGATGGAGAGCAGCAGCTGCCCTCTCTTCTTCGGCCATGGTGTGGGTGGACACTCAGAGGGAACAAGGGATGGAGAGCAGCAGCTGCCCTCTCTTCTTCGGCCATGGTGTGGGTGGACACTCAGAGGGAACAAGGGATGGAGAGCAGCAGCTGCCCTCTCTTCTTCGGCCATGGTGTGGGTGGACACTCAGAGGGAACAAGGGATGGAGAGCAGCAGCTGCCCTCTCTTCTTCGGCCATGGTGTGGGTGGATACCCAGAGGGCGCGAGGAATGGAGAGGAGAAGTTGACTTTTCTTCTTGGACTGCCCTGCCTCCACTGTCAGCTGCTTCCTAGAGAGAGGTAATGGGTTGAGAGTAGGGAGAGGGGGAGAGAGAGGGGGAGGAAGGGGGGAGGGAAGGACAAGAAAGTTATATGAGTTGACTCAAAGGCTCCTCGATAGAAGGAGAGGGTGCTGCTTCTTCGGCCATGGTGTGGGTGGACACTCAGAGGGAACAAGGGATGGAGAGCAGCAGCTGCCCTCTCTTCTTCGGCCATGGTGTGGGTGGACACTCAGAGGGAACAAGGGATGGAGAGCAGCAGCTGCCCTCTCTTCTTCTGCCATGGTGTGGGTGGACACTCAGAGGGAACAAGGGATGGAGAGCAGCAGCTGCCCTCTCTTCTTCTGCCATGGTGTGGGTGGACACTCAGAGGGAACGAGGGATGGAGAGCAGCAGCTGCCCTTTCTTCTTCTGCCATGGTGTGGGTGGACACTCAGAGGGAACAAGGGATGGAGAGCAGCAGCTGCCCTCTCTTCTTCGGCCATGGTGTGGGTGGACACTCAGAGGGAACGAGGGATGGAGAGCAGCAGCTGCCCTCTCTTCTTCGGCCATGGTGTGGGTGGACACTCAGAGGGAACGAGGGATGGAGAGCAGCAGCTGCCCTCTCTTCTTCGGCCATGGTGTGGGTGGACACTCAGAGGGAACAAGGGATGGAGAGCAGCAGCTGCCCTCTCTTCTTCTGCCATGGTGTGGGTGGACACTCAGAGGGAACGAGGGATGGAGAGCAGCAGCTGCCCTCTCTTCTTCGGCCATGGTGTGGGTGGACACTCAGAGGGAACGAGGGATGGAGAGCAGCAGCTGCCCTCTCTTCTTCGGCCATGGTGTGGGTGGACACTCAGAGGGAACAAGGGATGGAGAGCAGCAGCTGCCCTCTCTTCTTCTGCCATGGTGTGGGTGGACACTCAGAGGGAACGAGGGATGGAGAGCAGCAGCTGCCCTCTCTTCTTCTGCCATGGTGTGGGTGGACACTCAGAGGGAACAAGGGATGGAGAGCAGCAGCTGCCCTCTCTTCTTCGGCCATGGTGTGGGTGGACACTCAGAGGGAACGAGGGATGGAGAGCAGCAGCTGCCCTCTCTTCTTCGGCCATGGTGTGGGTGGACACTCAGAGGGAACGAGGGATGGAGAGCAGCAGCTGCCCTCTCTTCTTCGGCCATGGTGTGGGTGGACACTCAGAGGGAACAAGGGATGGAGAGCAGCAGCTGCCCTCTCTTCTTCTGCCATGGTGTGGGTGGACACTCAGAGGGAACGAGGGATGGAGAGCAGCAGCTGCCCTCTCTTCTTCGGCCATGGTGTGGGTGGACACTCAGAGGGAACGAGGGATGGAGAGCAGCAGCTGCCCTCTCTTCTTCGGCCATGGTGTGGGTGGATACCCAGAGGGCGCGAGGAATGGAGAGGAGAAGTTGACCTTTCTTCTTTGACTGCCCTGCCACCACTGTCAGCTGCTTCCTAGAAAGGTGTTTGGTTGCGTTGAGGGGGTGATGAGTGGAGGGAATGACGAGTTGAGTAGGCGGAGAAAGAGAGGGGCGGATGAGGGCGGGAGAGAAACAGGGGGAGGAGGTACGTTCAGAAGTGCTTTGACGTAGCGAGGAGAGGAGACGAAGTTCCACGCACGGTGTGATTCGCGTGCGATGAGTCTACATGCTTCTGTGTAGCATCGACTCAAAAGTAGTCAGTAGAAGAGACGAAGTTCCACGCACGGTGTGATTCGCGTGCGATGAGTCTACATGCTTCTGTGTAGCGTCGACTCAAAAGTAGTCAGTAGAAGAGACGAAGTTCCACGCACGGTGTGATTCGCGTGCGATGAGTCTACATGCTTCTGTGTAGCGTCGACTCAAAAGTAGCCAGGAGAAGAGTCGAAGTTCCACGCATAGTTAGATTCGCGTGCGATGAGTCTACATGCTTCTGTGTAGCGTCGACTCAAAAGTAGCCAGGAGAAGAGTCGAAGTTCCACGCATAGTTAGATTCGCGTGCGATGAGTCTACATGCTTCTGTGTAGCGTCGACTCAAAAGTAGCCAGGAGAAGAGTCGAAGTTCCACGCATAGTTAGATTCGCGTGCGATGAGTCTACATGCTTCTGTGTAGCGTCGACTCAAAAGTAGTCAGTAGAAGAGACGAAGTTCCACGCACGGTGTGATTCGCTTGCGATGAGTCTATAATTGAGTCGACTCAAAAGTAGCCAGGAGAAGAGTCGAAGTTCCACGCATAGTGTGATTCGTGTTAGGTTATTTCACAGCAAGGCTCGCCTCGCCTGGACCGTGCTTTGGCCTGCAAGCAAAGAGGCTGCAAAGAAGACCACACATTCCGAGATGCCTCCTAGCTCACCAAGACCGTGCTATATGGAAATCACTTTTGAGAATTCTAAAAAGTGATTTTCATATAGCTGCAGCAAAGAGGCTGCAAACAAGACCACACATCTTGAGATGCCTCAGAGCTCACCTGGACCGTGCTTTGGCCTGCAGCAAGGAGGCTGCAAACTCCCCGTGAGCTTTGAGAGAAGGTGAATGGGAGCTGTTGGGCTCTGGGCGGAAATGCACCTGACAGGGTTGGGAAGGGAGGAGAAACAGATAGAGACGATTTGTGACAGAGTGACACGAGGGAGGAGGGAAGAATGGGCGGAGGAGGAGAGGATGAGATATGATACGAGGCGCTTTTTGAGTCGACTCAAAAACCGACTCACTACACGCGGAGGAGGAGAGGATGAGATATGATACGAGGCAACTTGCTGGAGTGTGGGGGAGGAGAGGATGAGATGTGATACGAGGCAAAGGAGGGTGGTAACTTGCTGGAGGGTGGGGGAGAATGGTGTGAAAGGAGGAAAAGGTGTGAAAGGAGTGAAAGGAGTGAAAGGAGGGAAAGGATTCGACTCAAGTAGCACATGAATACTCAAGTAATCATTCTGTAGTACCTCGAAGGTGGACCGCGGCTTGCCAAAGTCAGGGATCCCCCTGGCCCGCACCCACTCCAAAAACACTCCCAACTGACTTTTGAGTCGACTCAAAAGTCAATTCTGTAGTACCTCGAAGGTGGACCGCGGCTTGCCAAAGTCAGGGATCCCCCGGGCCCGCACCCACTCCAAAAACACTCCCAACTTCTCCTCATCACTCCTCTCCTCTTCATCCTCTTCTGCTGCTGCGTCATCTCTTCTCCTCTTGCTCTCAGCAGCTGCTGCAGTCACTGGCTCTGGCTCGTCCAATCGCAGGTCGTATTTGGGGTCGCAGGCAAGCAGCAGCCAATCAGAGGTGTCGATGAGCACCCGCTTCTTATTGGCCCTCACCTGCAGCACCTGCTGCACCTCCTCTAATGCTCCCATGAACCACGGTAGGCAGAGCTGTGGGGGGTGAGAGGTGGGGAAGGGAGTGTGGTTGGGACAGAGGCGACGGTTTTGGATGGGGCCAACCAGGAAACACCTACTCCCCACCCCATGAAGCCAGATAGCACCTACCCCAGATGGGGCCTCGTCCAGCCGCCCAGCGTCGCGGTACCGCCGGCAGATGGCTGCTGACGTCAGCATGAACTCATCCTCGCTCACGGACGACGAGAAGCCGCCCAGAAGCTTCTCGACCAGCCGCCTCAGCATGCCTGCTGCCACCCGCAGCGCCGGTAACAGGTCGGCGACAGGTGGCGGCATGTGATTGGCTGTGGAGGTACCGGATTGTGATGCGGATGGAGCAGAGGTGGTAGAGGAGGAGGAGGTGTGGGGGAGGAAGAGTGGGTGGGAGGGGAGGGAGAGAAGTGGCATGTGCGTGCAGGTGGTGGTGCCGTCCAGATTCCACGCCAGTGCCACACTTATTCTTGCCAGCAGTGCTGGGTCAGGCTCTGGTAAGGGGGAGAGTGGTTGAAGGTAGTGGGGGGGGAGGGGGGGATGAATATGAGCAGGTGGTGGTGCCGTCCAGATTCCACGCCAGTGCCACGATCACCCGCGCCAGCAGTGCTGCGTCAGGCTCTGGTGGGGTTGGGGGAGCGGGGGAAGGGAAGTGATGAGTAGGATAAGGGCAGGATACGGGCAGGGTGAGATGAGTCTGGAGTGTGCGAAAAGGGCAGGATAAGGGTCTGGTCTGGTGTGGGTGGAGGTGACGTGATAAAAGTGGGTGGAGGAGACGTCTCAAATCTACACTTTTATCAAAGAGAAGGATAAGGGTCTGGTCTGGTGTGGGTGGAGTGGAGGTGTGACGAGTTCCAGACATGTTTCGAGTGGGGTCATTGAAACATGCGATGCAATATCGGACCAGCAAGGTATGAGACACGAGGCACGCTCTAGCTAAGGTCGCATGCAATATCTAGCGAAACAAGAAGAGGGGGGAGAGGGGGTGGGAGTAGGAGGGGTAAGGCGGGCATGGAGATAAGGTGCTTCACTCCCACTTAGCTTCAGCTCGCCTGCTGTTTCGCCATTCAGAACACCGTACCTCTGCCATTAGATCGCAGATAGGCGAGAGCAGTGAGGTAAGCAAGGAGCTCAGGGTCGATCCGCCCCTCAGGATATGCCAAGAGCCCCTCTGGATCCACCCCCCCTGCCACTGATTCCTCCTTTTCTTCCTTGCCGTTCTCCTCGTGTTTCATCCGCATCATCCGGTGCTTCTCTCCTTCCTTCTTCTTCCTCTCGCGCTCCAGCTGCTTATGTCGCCGCATCTCCCAGAACCACATCTGCTCCATCCCATACCACTTGCCACCCGTCATGGCATGCTCTTCTCCTCCTCTTTCCCCTCTCTCCCCATCTTGTGCTGCCACGCCCTCCCCCGCTCGTGCTGCAGAATTTCGGGAGCCCTCTGTGACTCCTCCAGCCTCTCGGGCAGCGCTCAAAACATTCCTCTTCACCTCCAAAACTGCCCGGACGACACGGTCCTCCAGCGCCGCTGCCCGCTTCTGAAATTCTTTCTCGGGCAGTTTAGCGGGCAGGCCGGTTGAGGGAAAGGCGAGAGAGAAGGAGCGGAGGGCGTGGGCAAGAGAGGGAAAAAGAAGGACCCTGTCCAAAGCCGTGTCTTGCGGAACAGTACCAGTGCTTAAGTAAACATCATCGTTAGAGAGCAGCGGCGGTGGAGATGGAGGTAGAAGTGCTGCAGAATTCACGTCAGTGTCTGTTTGTTGAGTAGGAGCGGTGGGAGTTGGGGCGAGGACGAGAGGAGAGTGTGCCGGGATATCCTCGCTGGTGAAGACCTCGATTGAATCTCTAGACACCTGCATTGCATGGAAGGGGCGATGGGAATGTTGAAGAAAGGAGCATGTGAGATTAGTTGAAAGTGACTCCAATTGTGCCGGGATATCCTCGCTGGCATAGACCTCGATTGAATCGTTAGACACCTGCATTGCATGGAAGGGAGGATGTGTGTGTGGTTGGTAGAAAGGAAGGGAGGATGTGTGTGTGTGGTTGGTAGAAAGGAAGGGAGGATGTGTGTGTGTGGTTGGTAGAAAGGAAGGGAGGATGTGTGTGTGGTTGGCAGAAAGGAAGGGAATGAAGGAGTGGCGAGTCATGGTGTCAACCTGTCACCACTCACAACTATCAGAATCAGAAATTGTCAAGCTGTCACGACTGACTACTATCAGAATCAGCAATTGGCTCTTATGTCCCTCTATCCGCCCATCCTTGTGACCCCTCCCTCCCTCTCATCCCCCTCGCGTGCATTGAGGTGTATTTGGAGGCGCCTCAAAATATCGGCTCTTATGTCCCTCTATCCACCCATCCTTGTGAGTGAATCCGGGTGCATTGAGCTGAGTTCTGAGGCGCCTCAAAACTTGTGAGTGACCCCTCCCTCCCTCTCATCCCCCTCTCGCCTTTCCCTTCATCCCCCCTTCCCCGTCCATCCCTCACCCACCTGCCACTGCACGTTGCTTCCACCTCCCCCAGCTGCACCCGTCACTGCTGCTGCTTGTGCTGCCACCCCTGCCGCTGCTGATGCCGCTGCTGTCGCCGGTGCTGCTGCTGCTGGAGCTTTTGCTCCCATTGTTGTTGACTGGACAGGAGCCGGGCGGCTCATGAGGTGCAGCAAGGGCACTATCACCAGTGCAGCAGGTCGGCTGTCAGGTGAACTGTCAGGTGCTGAAGGCGACGGGGCTTGGGGCAGCGGCAGGGACACGGAGAGAGCAGCAGCGACAGCTTGGAGAAAGCTCTCGAAAGACATGGCCGCGTTGTCTGCGGTAGACTGGCTGACAGTGGTGTTCACCCACGCGTCGTACTCATCTTGGTACTGCTCCAACTGCTGGTCTAGCTGGCAAGAATGGGACCCAACCCAAGGGGTGAATACACAGGGGGTACACACAGGGGGTACAGGGGAGGCAGATCGGTTCAGAGTGGTGTTCACCCACGCGTCGTGCTCATCTTGGTACTGCTCCAACTGCTGGTCTAGCTGGCAAGAATGGGGCCCAACCCAAGGGGTGAATGCACGGGGATAACAAAGAAGGAATAAGACAAATGTGGAACACATCAACGGCAGATGAATCCTTTTTTTGAAACACGATATTGATCTCAGATGAATCAACGGCAGTCCAGATCAGATCAGATCAGTTTGCCCGACACAACCTCAGCTTTGTCTCACTTTGTGTCAACCGATTGTTTATATTCGTCTCACCTTGTCAATGAACGGCTTTGATTCGACTCACCCTGTCGATCAACGGCTTGTAGCTGAGCTCCAGGCGCAGGTCGTCATCCAGCATGAGAGGCAGCGGCCTCAGCTTTGTCTCACCTTGACAATGAACGGTCTAGATTTGCCTTACCCGGTCGATCAACGGCTTGTAGCTGAGCTCCATCCGCAGGTCGTCATCCAGCATGAGAGGCAGCGGCCTCGCCAGACTCACGGGCGGCAGCAGCACCCCTGCCAGTGCCGCCCAAGACAATCCCTCTGCCGCCCGATCTCTTTTTGCAGCTGCTTGCAGCAGCATACAGCCCGCCAGATAGCCCTCAGGTGAAAGCTCAGGAGGGGAGGACGAAGAGGAAGATGAGCAGGTGGAGGAGGAGAGGGTGAGGCGGAGGGGAATGGAGAAGAGGCGCTGGCCTTTTGGAATGGCGCGTGCTGACTGCAGTGATGGTTGGTACCTGCGTGCGAGGGATGGACGACAACCAAGCCACACCATTGCATGGATGGATGAGATGGGATGGGATGGGATGGGATGGGATGGGATGGGATGGGATGGGATGGGATGGGATGGGATGGGATGGGATGGGATGGGATGGGATGAGATGGGATGGGATGGGATGGTCCTGAGAAGCCAAGCCAGCAACGGGAATCTCTGACCAGCACTAGCATGCGATGTGCGGCAGATGGTAATGATTGACCAATACCTGTACTCCGGTCCGGTGGGTCGTCGTTGTCTGCTCTGGGGTGACATTTGAGTCGACTCAAAAGTCACCTCGTTAAATGGTAATGATTTATTATCAATACCTGTACTCTGGTGGGTCGTTGTCTGCTCTCTCTTCTTCTTTCCCGTCCTCCTCGTCCTCCTCTTGTGCAGCCATTTCTATTCTCAGAATCTTGAGCTGCAAGAGGAAACACCGCCAAACCAGGACTCATCGAACTAAGATGTTTGTAGAAAAAAGTGTCAGCTCGAAATAAAAATGGCAAAGTCAGAAAAAGAAAATCAGATCCAGAGAGGATTACAATGAAGGATTACAATGTTTCACTCACGCGAACAGGGCTACCAGGAGCTGCCACGTCACCCTCCACTCCGTGTTCTCGCAGCCAATCAAGATACTCCATGAATCCGGACTCCTTCAAGAGTTCAGGAGTTGGATAACTATCCTGTTCCTCCTCCTCGTTACTGTCACCCTCCCTCGTTCGTATTGTCACATCCTCCTCGTTCTCCCCTCCCTCTACCCCATCAGCGTCCTCGTCAGCATCATCCAACATCCAATCAAACTCTTCCTCCATCCTCCTTCCGCTGCCCCCTCCACTGCTCCCCCACAGTTCCCCTGAGTCCCCTTCTGCTCCGCCAATCCCAGCTTCCCCCCCAACTGGCTTTCCGCCCACATGCGCTTCCCCCGCTGGCGCTTCCCCCACTGGCGCAGCATAGCGCGGGAAGCCTTCAGCGTCAGTAGAGGCGGAACAGCTGCCGCGCGCGGGGGAATGGGGGGGAGAATGACTGGCGGAACATGACGTGGGGGCATCGCCGCAGGCGCGCGGAAGAACAGCGGCGCAGAGGATGAGCGCGAGGGGGATGCGGGAGACGAGCTGAAGGAACGAACCGCGGAAAACGCTGGCGTTGCTCCGCGAAACTCGGGGATTGCTCATGGTGTAGTACCGCACGAGAATGGTCACCAGAATCGACGAGAATGGTCGCCAGAATCGACGAGAATGGTCGCCAGAAAACGAAATGGAAATTTGGACTAGGCTATCGACGACCCGACGCCTCCCGCAGCGGCGTTCGCATCGTCCATGCTGATCCCAGCAGCGAGCTTGAAGGCTCTTATTTCCGCCTTGAGCTGAGCGTTAATAATTTTCATACGAGCGTTTTCCTCCTTGAGACCGGCGTTTTCCTCCCTGAGTCCCTTCACCTTCATCTGCAGCTCCGCATTATCACGCCCCAGCTTCGCGTATTCGTCTCTGGGCAATTTGTCCTCCACGTGAAGGTTCTGCATCTCGCCCTAGGCTACGGTGGTCTAGGGAAGATTTGCGTTCTGCAAAACAAAACACGCGATCACAGTTCTCAGATCGAGCAGGCGAATTCCTGCGAATCTAGCTTGCGAGTTTCAGGTTTGAAGGGCGTATTCCGCAGACCGGAGATCTAGAGCGCACTTTTAGGAATTTGATTTGAGTTGCAGTACTGCACGTGGCAGGCTCGAGTTTGAATACGGTTGTCCAGGCTCACAGCGACTTCGAGATGACACCACCTGACACGATCTTCGATGATCTTCTGACCTTCGTGAACTGCATTCTGTGAATACGCTTCAGGGAACAAGAACCCAGGTGGTCTGCATTTCCATTTCAGTTTCTGTCGCTGCAAATTCGCTATATGTGTATTCTGTACAGATAGGTTGAGGAAAAGAACGCTATCATATCGGATTGCGAGTCCGTCTCAATGCGGAATAAAACCTGCTCCCATCAACACCAAAACATTCAGCTAAACCCAGCTAGCATCCAGTCTCCTCGCAAGAGCGCGACTCGTGAACCTATGGAAGTCTGAACACTTGCAAAGACGTTGCTGAGCCCTATCATAGCCATCCACCTACGATATCCCTTATCTCGTTCTCTCTCGCTCCATTGCCGTCCCGTTACGGTGCTGGCATTACACGGATCCGTAATCTTCTCACACTGCTCTCCTATCCCCGGGAAGGGCTACGCCGGCTGTCTGTATGATGTCCACGTCACGCAAGAACGCCACGAGCAGGTTTAGTACGAGGAGCTTCCGGGCAATGGCTGTATTAGCGGCAGCATCAGGAGCAAGAGATCGTGCTCAGTGCGCTGCGCGCCGCTGCAAGCTCCGTTCTTCGTGCGGTGGTTTCTTCCCCTGGTGGCCTCTCCTCTGCTTCCTTCTTCTCCTTCCGCCCTCCTCCTTCCCTTCGTCCGCTTCAGTCAGCGCGCACCTTCAAGCGCACACAGCGCAAGCGGAAGCTGACTGGGGGACGGCGCATGCGCGAGTTGCGCAGGCGGAGGCGGAGGAGGCGGAGGACGATGGCTGTTGCCGGAGCTAGGGGGAGACAGCTCCGCGGAGGGCGATGAGGGGGAGGCGGAGGGTGGCGCGGAGGGATGGGGGGAAATCCCTCTGAAAGGTTCCGGGTTCGCGGGGCTGCTGACGTGGCTGCGCGCAAATGGGGCGGGCGGAGAAGTGTTGGAAGGGGAGAGCGTTCGAGTGAGTGGGCGGGATACGGGGAATGATAGAAATACCTCGCCCATTACGCCATTGGCTCTTGTTCGAATGTAGCCTCTTGCTTCAAGTTCCGCACCCATGCAGTTCTGCACCCACACGGGGACGGGGTGGGGTCCTACCCATCCATCTAACTCACAACCCCCTGTTGTGCCCGTGCGTGAACCCACCCACCCACCGGCGCATGCAGTTGAGAGTTTTCCGAATGGAGCAGCCGGATGGTACTAGCTTGGACTGGCAGGGCGGGCAAGGGCTGCACCCATGCAGGGGTGCTGCGCTGCGCTGCTGATTCACTATCCCTCCCTACCCTCTTATCTGCCCATGCGACCACCCGCCCGTGCAGTTGAGAGTTTTCCGAATGGAGCAGCCGGATGGTACTAGCTTGGACTGGCAGGGCGGGCAAGGGCTGCACCCATGCAGGGGTGCTGCGCTGCGCTGCTGATTCACTATCCCTCCCTACCCTCTTATCTGCCCATGCGACCACCCGCCCGTGCAGTTGAGAGTTTTCCGAATGGAGCAGCCGGATGGTACTAGCTTGGACTGGCAGGGCGGGCAAGGGCTGCTGGCGGGGGGAGAGGGCGATGGCATGGGGGAGAAGGCGGAGGGAAAGAAGGCGGAGGGGGAGAAGGCGGAGGGGGGGAAGAAGAAAGAGGAGGAGAGAGAGGAGGAGAAAGAGGAGGAGAAAGAGGAGGAAAAAGAGGAGGAAAAAAGGGACAACAGGGCGGTGCAGGAGAAGTATGATGCCAAGGAGAAGGAGAGGAAGTGCAGGCAAGTGGCAAGGCGGGGCAAGTGGCAAGGCGGGGCAAGTGGCAAGGCGGGGCAAGTGGCAAGGCGGGTGCTTCTCCCTCGTCTTTCTCCACTCTCTTTCCCACAGCTGCTCGCAGCGGCCTTTGGGATGAGTGACTCGCCTCGCACCTCCCTCTCCGTTATCCTTCCCCTTCCTCTCCCCACTCCATTCCTCCCTCTCCCATCCCACTTCCCCATCCCCACCCCACTCCATTCCTCCCTCTCCCATCCCACTTCCCCATCCCCACCCCACTCCATTCCTCCCTCTCCCATCCCACTTCCCCATCTCTCCCCAACCCTGCTCGCAGCGGCCTTTGGGATGAGTGACTCGCCTCGCACATCCCTCTCCCTTCTCCTCCCCTTTCCACTCCCCACTCCTCCCTCTCTCCCTTCCCCATCTCTCCCCAACCCCTCCCAGGTTCTTCCCCCAGTTGCTAGCAGCAGCGCCCATAGGCGCGGGGCAGCTGCTGCTGCGCCCAACCCAGCTTCCTTAATTCCTCCCCTCACCTCCTTTCCCCTCCCCCCTCCCCTCTCTCCCTCCCCGCGCCACCCACCAGGTTCTTCCCCCAGCTGCTAGCAGCAGCGCCCATAGGCGCGGGGCAGCTGCTGCTGCGCCTGCCCCTGCCCTTGCTGCTCAACGCCTCGCGCTGCTCCGCTCCCTCCCCCCGCCTCCCCCTTCCCCCGCGCCTCCCCCTTCCCCCGCGCCTCCCCTTCTCCCCCGAAGGCGCCCTTGCTGCCTGCCTGCTGCTGCTGCAGCAGCAGGGGGAGGGGGGTGAGCCGGGGGAAAGGGAGGGGGAAGGTGAGGGCGCGGGGGAGAGCTGGGGAGCGCAAGTGGCTCCTGCTGTGCTGCTGGCGCTGCTGGCGTCCCGCACGGCCCACCTGCTGCCCATGCTCAGAAACGACCTCCCCCACCTGCCCCTCCTCCACCAGGTCCGCCCCCCCCTTTCCCCTACGCCCCCCCCTTTCCCCTACGCCCTCCCCTTTCCCCTACACCCTCACCATTCCCCTACGCCCTCCCCTTTCCCCTAATCCCTCCCCTTTCCCCTAATCCCTCCCCTTTCCCCTACTCCCTCCCCATTCCCCTACTCCCTCCCCTTTCCTCTACTCCCTCCCCACCCCCCTTCCCCTTGATCTGCTGTTCCAGTCCTCCCATTCGTCCTCCCACTCTCCTCCTCTCTCCCCACCCCCTTTTTCCCTCCCTTGCCCACCCACTCTTTGCTTTCTCACTCTCACTCTTACTTCTCACTCTGGATATTCACTCTATAAATGCACTCTCGCCTTTCACTCACAAATTCGCTCTCATTATTCACTGTCACGAACACTCGCACTCTTCTCTTCCAGCGCCAACCCCCACCCTCCCCCCACTCTCACTTCTCACTCTGAATATTCGCACTCATTATTCACATGCGCTCACGCTCACATGCACTCGCGCTCACATGCACTCGCGCTCACATGCGCTCGCGCTCACATGCACTCGCACTATTTTCTTCCAATGCCAACCCCCGCCCTCCCTCACTCTCCTTGTCCTTACCTTTCGTCCTTGCACCTGCCCCTTGGTCCGATCCCTTCTTTTGGATGCTCTCACCCTACCCAGGCCGTGAAAGAGAGGCAGCAGTACGAGCAGGAGTATGCCAACTGGACCGCCAGCATTACCGCCGGCAGCGGCAGCAGCAGCAACAGCAGCCCCCCCTCGATGCCGTCGCTGCAGCAGTTTCTGGCGACGGTGGCGGCCGTGAGGGCTCTGGCTCTGCCCATGCGCCTGCCGCCCCTGCAGGAGGGGCAGGGGGAGCAACAGGAGCAAGGGGGGGGCAGGGGGAGGTATGGCGGGAAGAAGGGCGGAAGGAGGGGAGAGAAGGGGTGGAGGAAGCAGAAGCAGCGGCGGTTTGAGCTGACGGTGGTGCCTCTCATGAATGCTGTTGCGCGGGCCACTGAGAGGCACCAAGGGAACGTGTGGTGGGAGGTGAGAGGCCGGGAACGTGTGGTGGGAGGTGAGAGGCTGGCAAGGTGTGGGAGGTGAGAGGCTGGCAAGGTGTGGGAAGTGAGAGGCTGGCAAGGTGTGGGAGGTGAGAGGCTGGCAATGTGTGGGAGGTGAGAGGCTGGCAGTGGCAAGCTGCAATGGCAGGTTGTGTGGTGGTGTGGACCGTACGTGGATGTTACCAGAGCAGACCTACTGGTGCTTCCCAGTCTTGCAATAACACTTCTTAGATCGTGTTCCAACGCAGGGACACCATGCGAAGTTTTCAGGCTTGTACTGATGAAGGCTTGAAAAAGCCGAAGCTAGTTTGCAATGTCCCTGATCCTTTAAGTGAAGATTTGTTTTAAACTGGCTCTCTCAATAACGTTCTAAGCTAGCGCACACCAGGCTCCTTCCGCCATTTTTTCATGGAGTTTGTTTCGTTGTCCTAATACAACACGAGTTGATGGAAGTAAGGCCTCCGCAGCCCACCTGTCCTCTTTAGACAGATCGTGTTCCAACGCAGGGACACCATGCGAAGTTAGTCAAGTTTTGAGTCGACTCAAAACTCGACTCACTACACGCAGGGACACCATGCGAAGTTTGGACAATTTGAGCGTTTTCTCGTGCTGCGTGCCTACTTCCCCTAGTTCAACGTGACCTAGACACGATGCTACGAAATTTGCAATTCTGACGCTTTCAGTACACTGCAGGTCAGACATGCCAGTGAGTTGAAAAGCGGGACCAAGTGAGGTCACCCAGCACATCGAGACTGGTTTACTTCTGACGGTTTGAGAATCCATCCAGCCTTTTTATCTACGGGGTAACATTATATTTAGACCTTCATTCAAAAGCAAATGAAAAAGCCAACAAGGTGTCCCAACTTCGGATGGTGTCCCTGCGTTGGAATACGCCCTTGCTCCATTCCTCCAATCTTCCATTAGTTGTGCTTAAAATTTCCACACCCTTTTTCTTTCCCCACTTCTATCCCTTCCCAACTCCTCTTACATCAGCTTGTCCCTCGATTCCACAAGGGTTTCAGTTCAGCCTACTTTTCCCCTACGTCCCTTTCTCTCATCCCTCCCCCCCCCCTCTGGCAGCTGACCCACGCGGGATTCCACCTGAGGGCGTCAGAAGTCATTCCCACCGGGGCTGCTCTCGTGCTGCCTCTCAACGGCGGCCTGCCCGACCCGCTACAGCCCGACCCGCTACAGCGCGACTCGCTACAAGTAGCAGCGCATGCAGGGGCGCAGGGGACAGCAGCAGATTTGGAGAGCGAGGAGGATGAGGAAGGGGAAGGGCGGGCGCGCTTGTCTTCTCTGGGGGAGGTGGAGGAGGCGGACAGGTCTGTGTCGCCGGCCACGTTGATATCCAACGACGACGCCTTCCTCTCCCTCGGGATCATCCCGGCCTGCTCCTCCTTCGACCGCGTGCAGGTCGGTGCAAAGCGGTGGTGCTAGGTACCGAGCAGTAAATGTCGTTTTTTAGCAGGTGCAGTTGAGATCGCTGGGGGAGGTGGAGGAGGCGGACAGCCACGCTGCTCTCAAACGACGATGCCTTCCTCTCCCTCGGGATCATCCCCGCCTGCTCCGCCTTTGACCGCGTGCAGGTCCGTTCTCAAGCGGCGCAGGTCGGTATTGAGCGGTGCAAGTGGGTTTTGAGCGGTGCAGGTGATTCGTGAGCGGTCCAGATGGGTCGTGAGGGGGGGACGTGTCTTTGTTCGCTCGCGACCACGTGCAGGTGGGAGGGAGCACATAGTGGCTGGCCGGAGTGCCTCTCTGTAACAGGTTCCGCATGGTGAATTCCGAACCTGTTACACTCTCTAATACACCGTTTGCCTGCAGGTCGGTTCGGTCACAAAATTTGCCACTTGTTGACTTCTGAGGCGCCCCTCCTCCCCTCTACCCTCCTCCCCCCCTTTCCCCTCCTCCCCCCTCCGCCCCTTCCCTTCCTCCCCTGCAGCTCTTCCCCTCCCTCCTCAGCGTCATTCGCAGCATCTCAACACCCGCCTTCCCTGAACCTTCCTTCCGTGCGCGCTTTGAAGCGCGGGCGGCAGCAGCAGGCAGGAAGGCAGTGGAGCAAGTGCGGGCAGTGAAAGAGCATCTCTTCTCTGCCGCCCTGAAAAAGGGCCTTATCACCACCACCCGCACAAGTGCCGACACCCGTTGGGGTTGGGGCCTTCCCAACAGGTTGCAGCAAAAGGAAAAAGTCTCCCAAGGGCAGTCTCAGAGGGGCATGGGGAAGGGTGTGGCAGAGGGTGGTGTGGCAGAGGGTGGTGGGGAAGGGACTGGGGAGCACAAAGCAGAGGCTTCTGAAGCTTGGGAGTACAGCAGGGAAGAGAGCTTTGGGGATGGGGAGTGGGATCTGGAAGGGATGGGGCGCGTGCTGCAGCAGATGCTGTTCTGGGAGCGACGGCGGGGCATGCGAGCGAGGCTGGCTGAAAGACTGGCAAGGCGAGTGAGAGAGACAGCGGCGAGAGAAAGGAGGGAGGGCGGAGAGGGGGGGGAGGGAGGCGAGGGGGGCGAGGGGGGAGAAGGGGGAGAGGCAGGAGAGGCGGGAGAGAGGAGTGAAAGAGGTGGTGGGAGAGGCAGCGGGGGAAAGGATGAGGGAGGGGTGAAGGAGGGGGAGGAGGGGAAGGAGGGCGAGGAGGGAGAGGGAGAGGGGGAGGGGGAGGGAGAGGGGGAGGGGTTGTATGTGTACGCGGATGGGAGGATGGACCCTGAGCTCGTTGCTCAGTACACTGCTGCTGTGCTGCTTGCTGTTACTGGGGAAGGTACTGCTGGGGAAGGTACCGCTGGCGAAGGTAGCACTGGGGAAGGTACTACTGGGGAAGGTTATACTGGGAAAGTTACTGTGGGGAAGGTAGCACTGGGGAAGGTAGCAGTGGTGAAGGTAGCTACCGATTACAGATGGCCTCAAGAAGATGCTAGCTCGTGCCTCATGCTTTGCTGGTCCGTCATGGCCTCCCCTAGCTATCATGCTTTGCGTGTGATTCATGCTTGCATGTGACTCATGCTTGCATGTGACTCATGTTTGGAAGTCTAGGTGTTAGGTACACACACACCATGCGCACTTGCAAACACACACGTGATTTTGCCCTTAGTGCATGCATGCTGCCCCCTTCCCACCTCCTTTATTCACTCCTCCCACTCTGCACACTCCACACTCCACACTCGTCTCATTTCACCCCTACTCGCGCTCATCGCACACTCATCTCAACCCCACCCCCACTCTCTACTCACCTGCTACTCATTTCCCCCCCTCCCTCCCTCCCCACCCAGAACTCGATGTAGCGTTGCTGGCGCAGGTGAGCGTGATGGGAGCGCATGAGTATCCACTGCAGCACTCATGATCCCTCTCACCACTCGTCCCTCCCTCCCTCCCCACCCAGAACTCGATGCAGCGCTGCTGGCGCGGGTGAGTGTGGCACTGGCGTGGAATCTGGACGGCACCACCACCTGCACGCACATGCATCTGCTCTCCCTCCCCTCGCACCCGCTCTTCCTCCCCCTCTCCTACTCCCCCTCCTCTTTCCTAACAAGCCTTCCTGAGATTCTAGACGTGGTTGTCAGCAGCTTGCAGCGGCCAGTGGAGGAGCTTTTAACGAGGATAGAGCAGGCGTTGGGAGGGGCAAAGGCATGGGTGGAGAAGGGGATGGTGTGCCGGGAAGGAAGAGCAGCGGGGATCGTCTCGGCTCAAGTGGACGAGGTGAGGGGTTAAGTGAGTGGGGGCTTATAGCAGGGATTACAGTGGGAGCTTATATCGAGAATAGAGCAGGCGTTGGGAGGGGCGAAAGCATGGGTGGAAAAGGGGATGGTCTGCCGGGAAGGCAGAGCAGCGGGGATCGACTCGGTTCAAGTTCATGAGGTGAGAGATAAAGGGGCGGCTTATAGCGGGGATTGAACAGGCAGTTTAGACGTCGCCTGAAGTACGTCTTCCTGTCGCCTCTCCTCGTGCACTCCTCCCATTTCCATTCCACCCCTTTTGTGACGTCTCAAAAACACCCTCTCTACACGTGGCTATTCTCCTCGTGCACTCCTCCCATTTCCATTCCACCCCTTTTGTGACGTCTCAAAAACACCCTCTCTACACGTGGCTATTCTCCTCGTGCACTCCTCCCATTTCCATTCCACCCCTTTTGTGCATCGTCCCCTTCAATCCTGCATCTGATGCCATTCGCCTTGCCTCTTGCAGGCTTGCCGTCCATCCGTCCTTGCCCACGTGGCGCCCTCCCATTCGCTGCTGCGATTCCTTGCTAGCAAGCGCAGCATCCTACTGGCTACCTCCGATCGCCTCGCCTCAGCCTGCAAGCCCCAATCAGCAACCGCCACGTCAGCAGCAGCCGCAGCAGCAGCAGAACCGTATGCAACAGCAGGTTCATCCCAAGGGGTAGAAGAGCAGGAGGAGGGAGAGAGGGAAGAGACAGAGAGGGAAGGAGAGAGGGAGGAGAGAAAGGAGGAAGAGGAGGGAGTGAAGGAGGGTAGCGTGCAAGAAAGAAAAGGGTCTGGTACACAGGCCAGGGTGGGAGATGGGGCCAGGGCCTGCCAGGGCCAGGCCTTGGTGATTGGAAAGGACAGACAGATGGGGTTTGGCAGGGGCGGCAGTGAGCTGACGGGGAGGGCAGGGGTGTGGAGTGAGGTGGCGGGGGAGAGGATGGGCGAGATGGGGGAGGAGGAGCGGGTGAGGGTGTTTGTGGAGTGGGTGGGGGCGAATGGGATGGCGGACTATAACAAGCCTGGCTCGGGGATCGAGGTGCGTTGCGGTTACCGGGGCGAGTGTCTGATTGACGGAGGGTGAGAGGGAGGAGGAGCGTTTGCGTGTGCATACTACCATGTGCTCCCGTGCCTCGCGGCTATGCGTTATGCCGCACCATGCTGTGTCAATCGTTTTTGGCGCCTCAAGAACTGCTCTATACTGTACAAGACTGAGCGGCGGTAGGGCGGGGCGGTGGTAGTACTACTACCCTGTACGTGCGTCGGACGAATTGCTGTATCCTGTGCCGTACGAGGAGGAAACCGTTGTATGCTGCACATCACATCACAGTGCTGCTCTTCCCTCCTCTTTGTAACACCACCACTGGTCTTCTGACATAATTCTCAGCGAGCTGCAAACTTAGTCAGGCTTAAAGCAGAAGATCACAGTGCTGCTCTTCCCTCCTCTTTGTAACACCACCACCACCACCATCATCATCATCCGCTGCTGTGGCAGATAGTCTTTTGAGTCGGCTCAAAAGTGAATTGCTGTATCCTGTGCCGCACATCACATCACAGTGCTGCTCTTCCCTCCTCCTTGTAACACCACCACCACCACCACCATCGTCCGCTACTGCTGTGGCAGATTGTCTTCTGGAACGAGACTGCGCCAGTCCATGGTGACACCTCAAGGGCAATTTTAGAGGCGCCTAAAAAATCCTCCTTGTAACACCACCACCACCACCACCACTATTATCATCCGCTGCTGTGGCAGATTGTCTTCTGGAACGAGACTGCGCCAGTGCATGGTGAACCTCACGAGCAGGAAAGCAGGTGAGCAGGTGCAGGCAGGGTTGGCAGGGCATGATATCAGTGCGGGCAGGAAATGATGCGGGCAGGTCATGACGCTTTGTGCCACCCATCCCCCTACACGTTCATTCCAGGCGCCAGATGTCAGTGCGGGCAGGGCGGGATCACGAGGAGGACTCAGTGCTGCTCTCAATCCCCACCTCCCTCTGGGTCACCACGCCCGCCATGCTGCAAGCCATAGGGGGGCCCCCCTACCCCGGGCCTGTGTGGGCCTTCACTGTCGCCGCCGCGTGGCTGCTAAGGGAGATGCTTAAAACGAGGACGGAGTCCTTCTGGTGGCCGTACCTGCAGCTGCTGCCCCGCCACGTCCCCCTGCCGTACTTCTTTGAAGAAGAGACGTTAGAGGAGCTGCAGGTCCCATCAATCATCAAAACGGTGAGTTATGGTGACCACCTTCACTTCACCCATACCTGCTGCAGGTACGGGTGAGTTACGCTCTGTATGGTGAGCACCTTCACCCGTACCTGCAGCTGCTGCCGCGCCACGTCCCCCTGCCGTACTTCTTTGAGGAGGAGACGCTGGAGGAGCTTCAGGTCTCGTCAATCATCAAAACAGTAAGTGGTGGTGAACACTGTGAGTGAGTGAGTGAGTGAGTGAGTGAGTGAGTGAGTGAGTGAGTGAGTGAGTGAGTGATTGAGCCCTGCCTACAGTGGCCGTACCTGCAGCTGCTGCCCCACCACGTCCCCCTGCCGTACTTCTTTGAGGAGGAAACGTTAGAAGAGCTGCAGGTCCCGTCAATCATCAAAACGGTGAGTTATGTTCTGTATGGTTGATCACCTTCACCCGTACCTGCAGCTGCTGCTGCGCCACGTCCCCCTGCCGTACTTCTTTGAGGAGGAGACGCTGGAGGAGCTCCAGGTCTCGTCAATCATCAAAACAGTAAGTGGTGGTGGTGAACACTGTGAGTGAGTGAGTGAGTGAGTGAGTGAGTGAGTGGGTGAGTGAGTGAGTGAGTGAGTGAATGAGTGAGTGAGCCCTGCCTACAGCGGCCGTACCTGCAGCTGCTGCCCCGCCACGTCCCCCTGCCATACGTTTTTCAAGAGGAGACGTTAGAAGAGCTCCAGTCCAGGTTCCGTCCATTGTGGAAACAGCGAGTTATGGTGAACACCTTCACCTTCACCTTCACCCACACATGCAGACTGCAGCAGCTCTGTCTGTCGTGCTCTGCTGCCGCGCGCGCCACGTCCCCCTGCTGTACTTCTTTGAAGAGGAAGCACTAAGGGAGCTTCAGGTCCCGTCGATCGTGACAACAGTAAGTCTTGGTTGGTGAACACTGTGAGTGAGTGAGTGAGTGAGTGAGTGAGTGAGTGAGTGAGTGAGTGAGTGTTTTGAGTCGACTCAAAGCACGACTCATTACACCTATGCGACCAATCCTCACTAGCTCTCTCTATCATGAAGAGGAGACGGCGGAGGAGCTTCAGGTTCAGGTCCCGTCGATCGTGACAACAGTGAGTTCCATTCAAAGCGATGGGTGAACATTGTGAGGGAATGAGTTATTGTAAGAAACTCACACCTTCCCAGTTCACCGACCGGCCACGTCCCCCTCCCCTGCCTGCCGTACTTCTTTGAGGAGGAGACGCTGGAGGAGCTCCAGGTCTCGTCGATCGTGACAACAGTAAGTCGATTCAGCATTCATGACCACTTGAATATGATGTGATGCACATGCACGCACTCTACCTTGCCCCTCAGCATGCATGAGTCAACTCAAGCGTCCCTCTTGAGGAGTCCTTCTGGTGGCCGTGGTTCTTTGAGGAAATGAGGCCAGTTCTGATTTTTAAGTTGAAGATTTGTTCAAACTGGCTCTCTAAGCAAATGCTCTAGCGCACAGTGAACCGGGCTCCTTCCTTTCATCCATTCCATTCCATGGGGTTTGTCCCGTCGTTCTAAGAACCATACGAGTTGATGGAAATAAGACCTCCGCAGCAGCCCACCTGTCCGTTACTGACAACTCAAGCGTCCCTCTTGAGGAGTCCTTCTGGTGGCCGTAGTTCTAGAGGAAAATGAGACCGGAAGACTTTTGAGACGTCTCAAGAAATGAGGCTAGAAAAACTCCAGGCCCCGTCGCGTCGATTGTGAAAGGAGTGAGTTCTATTTGAAGGTAAGGGTCGAAAGCAGTCATTTTAGCTGTAACTTATGGTGGAACTTATGTGATGGGAAATTCTTAGCAGTCATAACTCGTGGTGGAAAGTGCAGATTCTGCTCCACGTTCTTGCAAAGCGAGTCATGAGGCGATTTTTTAGGCGCCTCAAAAGCCGATTTTTTGAAGCGCCTAAAAAATCGCTGTAACTTATGGTGGCAAGTGCAGATTCTACTCCATGTTCTTGCAAAGCCTGGAAGGTAATGGTGAGCTGTGAAGGAGATTCATGTTCTCGTTTTCTGCCTGCCTGCACTGCACCCCATCCCCACACCACAACCCACCCCATCAGGTGCGCCACAATCTTGCGAGCTACGAGTTTGAGTACCGGCGGTGCGGCCCCACGGTGCTGGGCAACGCGTCCCTGCACGAGTTCATGTGGGCGCTCTCTGTGGTCCAGTCTCGCGGCTTTCAGGACCCGCGGTGGGGGAATGTGGTGACGTTTGAACCAGCGGGCCCTGGTGGAGTGGACGGAACAGGGGAAGCAGGGGCGGGAGGGTCGGGCGGAGGGTCGGGAGGAGCATCGGGCGGAGGTTCGGGTGGATGGTCGGCCGGAGGTTCGGGAGGAGGGTTGGGAGGAGGGTCGGGCAGGGGTGCGGACGGAGGTTCGGAAGGGCCGGGTGGGCCATCAGGGGCAGTGGAGGTGCAGGTGAAGAAGGGTGCGGTGCTGCTGGTGCCTCCTGCAGAGTTCTTTGACCACAGGAACGACTTCCATGCCGCCTATACGGTAACGTGCTTGTGGTCACTGGTTTATAAACTATTGCTGCTGCTGCTGCTGCTGGTGCCGCCTGCAGAGTTCTTCGACCACAGCAACGACTTCAAAACCGCCTACACGGTCGGTAATGTGCTTGGGGTATGAAACCCTGCTCCTGCTGCTGCTGCTGCTGTTACTTTTTTTTTGTTTGTTTTTTTTTTTTTTTACCACTCTTATAAGATTATATCTCTGCTGCCAGCGCAGCCCGTGGCAGTCCATTCTGCCCGATCTCGATTCTCTTGTTTGTGAGAGTTTCGCGCTCCCACAGGATGGCTGCCCACAGTGGCTTATCACCTAGCTGCTGTAGCCTTTAGTACGGTGAAGTAATTCCACTATAGTAGGCAAACAAACAAGAGAATAGGATTCGGTTGGTTGAGCTAGGCTACTTATTCCGGCCCTCCAGTGTCTCCAATTTCTTAGCGAGCTGGTTGGGCTCGAGCCGCCTGTGCTTGGGATTGGCCACTACCGATTTCCTGCTTCTCGAGGCTCTTGAGTCTCCCCAGTGCACTCCGCACATCCCAGTACCACCAACTTCGCGTCACCCCCTGAAACCCAACTCCTCCTCGGTAAAACTGAATTACACAATCTACACCGTATACACCTCACAAGCATGTAACAGAATACAATGCGTTTACCATTATATTCTGTGACACTCACAGCAGCGAGGGAACAAGCTGGCAGTCCAGCAGGAGGGACAGAGGGGGTTGGAGGGAAGAGCAAGAGGAGAAGAAGAGGATGAGATAACAACTGCCCGTGGTGGTGGTGGTGTTGGCGCTGATGTATGTGGCGGTGCAGCGAAGACGAAGCTCGCATGTGATGCTGCTGCTCGATTCCCAGCGGATACTGCTGCTGCCTGCCCTGCTGCTGCTGCTGGCTCTAGTGAAGTGAAGCACACATGCAGTGCTGCTGATGCTGCTGCAGCCGCCACTTCCGAAAATACAGCTGAGGCTACAGCTGATGCTGCTAGCCCTTCCTGTCGCGCGCAACCCGCACCCTCGTCTGTTCATTGGCGGGAAGAGATTAAGCAGAAGCTGCTGCGCGTGTGGGGGAGTGCTGGTGCTGGTGCTGGTGCTGGTGCTGGTGCTGGTGCTGGTGCTGGTGCTGGTGCGTGGCTTATTGACGGTGGAGAGAGAAGCGGGGAGCAAGAACCTGAGCGCACGACCATGCCACTGCATCGGCTGAAGCGGCAGCTGTGGCGGGTGGCAGCGAGGGCAGTGGAGGCCGTGGTGAGGGAGCGGGAGGAGGAGGGAGGGAAGTTCTACAGCGCCGCGGAGAGCGGTGGCCCGCCATTTGAGTTGATGCAGCGGGTCAGGAGAGTGAGCGAGGTGGAGGAGATAATGGGGGGCGTGGAGGAGAGGACAGAGGCGGACAAGGAGGGCAGGGTGGGCGTGGCGGTGTGGGCGAGAGGGCTCGTGGAGCCCAATCTCATCGCTGCCCTTGCTGCTGTGTATTACTACTTGCACTATCAACGAGGTGCGATCTCTGGCCGGACAGGTGAGGCGGGCAGGGAGGTGGGTATGGGCGTGGCGGTGTGGGTGAGAGGGCTCGTGGAGCCCAATCTCATCGCTGCCCTTGCTGCTGTGTTCTACCATCTGCAGTATCAACGAGGTGCGTTCTCTGGCCCTTGCTGCGATGTTCTACTACCTGCAGCATGGAAAAGGTGGGGCTTTGGCTGTGGTACCACTGCTACTTGCAGCACCAGGCAGGTGAGTAGGAGGACGAGGGCGGTGTGGGCGAGAGGGCTCGTGGAGCCCAATCTAATCGCCGCTCTTGCTGCTGTGTTCTACTACTTGCAGCATGGAAAAGGTGGGGCTTTGGCTGTGGTACCACTGCTGTTTGCAGCACCAGACAGGTGAGGCGGACAAGGAGGCGAGGGTGGGCGCGAGGGCTCGTGGAGCCCAATCTGATTGCTGCGCTTGCTGCTGTGTTCTACGACCTGCTGTGTTCAACGAGGTGAGTGCATGTTGACTCAGCAGTGTGTGCATGTCAACGAGGTTGCTCGGTCGGACCTGTGGTAGAACCAACCAACTGCTTCACCACACAGGTGAGGGCTCGTGGAGCCCAGTCTTGTTGCTGCGCTCGCCGCTGTGTTCTACGACCTGCTGCATCAACGAGGTGGGTGCATGTCGACTCAACAGTGGTGAAACCAACCAAATTCAGCACCAGACAGGTGAGGCAGACAAGGAGGTGGGCGTGGCGGTGTGGGCGAGAGGGCTCGTGGAGCCCAGTCTTGTTGCTGCGCTCGCCGCTGTGTTCTACGACCTGCTGCATCAACGAGGTGGGTCTAAAAGCAGTAAGCAGTGCATTTTGGATACATTTCACGAATAACCTGGGATAGACGGTCAGTAACAGCACCTCACCTGGCAATGCCTCTCCTCACCCGTTTCCCCCTCCCACCCCTTCTCCCCCCCCCTGCTCTTCGCACTTCCCCCATTTTACAGACCACTCAACAGTGCTAACGAGCTCAGCAGTCTACCTGGAATGGGCTGTCAGCAACAGCACCTGCCAGCACATCTCCTCGCGCCTTCCCTCCCACCCCCAACCCCTCTTGCTCCCCCTCCTCTTCCCATTTCTCCCACACAGACCCCCCTGCAGTGCTGACCAGCTCAGCAGTCTACCTGGGATGGGCCGTCAGCAACAGCACCTGCAAGGCTGTCCTCTCCCCTCCCCCCCAACCCCCACCCACTCCTTTGCCCATCTTTCTTCCCATTTCTTACTTATACACACACAGACCCCCCTGCAGTGCTAACCAGCTCAGCAGTCTACCTGGGATGGGCCGTCAGCAACAGCACGTGCCAGTTCCTCTCCTCGCCCGCCCCTGACATGCTGCCCGCCCTGCAAGCAGCAGCCGACACCGTTCGTCTGCTAGCGCAGGCGCGGCTGCAGCAGATGCCGACCAGCATAGAAGAGGACGAAGCGATCCTGAGGGAGCTGGAGCGGTGCAAGAGCGGCGGGAAGGTGGGGGCAGGTGGTGGGGAGGGGGTGAAGGGTGGGAAACTGGGGAAGGAAGGAAAGAAGAAGGCAGCGCAAAGGGAAGCCGAAGCGATCCTGACGGAGCTGGAACGGTGCGGGAAGAGGGAGGGGAAAGAGGAGGACGGGAGACGGGTGGGAAGGAGGGGAGAGGCAGACGGAGAGGGAGCAAAGGAAGGCGAGGAGGTAGAAGAGAGGGGCGATGAGGAGGAGAGGAGGAAAAGGGAGGACGAGGAGGTTGAGATGGGTTGTGAGGAGTGGCGGACAGGAGGTGGTGGAGATGGGGAGAGAGGGAGAAGCGGGGCAGGAGGGACACTCACAGGAGGGAGGCTGACAGGAGGGGGGTCGAGAAGAGGGAAGTTGAGAGGAGGGAGGTTGAGAGGAGGGAGGATGGGAGGGGAGATGATGACAGCGATGGGAGTGCGGTGCAGGTGTGCAGTTCTTCTGCCAGTGCTGGATGAGAAGCTAACAGCGGTGCAGTTCCGGTTGAGCAGGAAGCGAGTGCTGCATGGCGTGGTGACCCGCCTGGAGGCTGCCTGCCCTCCCACTGACAGCCTGGTTTCAACTTAGATAGGGTCTAGGACTTTTGAGTCGACTTGGAAGCTACCTGGAGCGCTACGGTGTCGTGTTTGGAGTCACAGAATGCAGAATTTATGAGTCCCCCCCACCCACAGCCCGGTTCCAACTTAGACAGGGTTTATGATTCGACTCAAATGTCACCTCGAGTGCTGCAGCCTGTGGAGTGGAGCCACAGGTTGAAGCTGCTTGCCCTCCCACTGACTGAGAGCCTGCTGCTACGACCGTGGATATCTGGTACTGGCAGTAGCAGCATTGGACTGGACAGTAGGCAGGGCAAGTGCTGCAGTAGGCTGGACTGACAGCCTGCTGCCTGCTGCTGCGATCGTGGATCTGGTACTGGCACTGGTATTATGTTGCGGACTGGACAGCAGGCAGGGCAAGTGCTGCAGGTGGTTGTGGCACAACTCGAAGCTGCATTTTTTAGTCGACTCAGAACACGGCTCGAACCTGCATGCTCTCTCTCACAGTCCCATTTGACCCCACCGCAATGAAGAGTCAATCGCGCATTACCGTATCGATCAATATTGCTGAGAGGTACATGGTGCCTTGTCTTTGTGCTGGCTCAATCAAGATGGCTTATTGCCCTCCGATAAATCGTGTCCCTTCCTGTCGTACGATACAATACGCATGTATGTAATATGTGTTTCTTTATGGGAACTTACCGTAATTGATGTTCATTTTTATGATGTGTAGTGATATCAAAGTTTTTAAACCCAGGCCAATTCCAGTATGGATGGCTGAAACCGAAACTTCTGACACCAAGGTCATAAAATCATAAGCCATACAATGTAATATAATTATGTATATTACATATATTACAATGTAGTACACTATCGTAGAGGTCTTTACTCTATCTTGGAGGTATTATCTGCTAGCATACTAAAGAAAGCACTGGACTTCAGTTTTCTGAGATTCTCTGGAGCTCCAAACTCAATGCTCTGCCCACGTTCCATGACAAGAACCTGCGAAAAATGGGGATTGGATAGTCGATGAACCAAAACATTAGGCAGCTTTTCAGCAAGTGGGACTTGCGCACATGTAGGGTGTGCGTGCGCACACGCACTCACACAGACGAGAGTGATTACATGCGAGCAAGAGGCACAAGCGACACTCTTCTGACTTGCCTGGTCATAATCAAGGACTGTGGAGAGCAGGCCCCTAGATTCGTTTTGAGGCACGCTGATCGATCAGCGTCCACCCGTGTTGGAACTCTGTGAGTCAGCGTGGCCCCAAATTTTTAGGCTGAAAATTCAGACAACCCAAAGTTTTTAGGCTTAACTTTCAGCGTGAGCTGTAAAACTTAAGCTGATAATGCATATTCATAAAAAACATTTCACATGTCTGAGTCAGAGTCTCTGAGTTGGGAGCTTCTACAGGAGCAGGTGGGGTGGATGTTTGTGGTGTCGTGCGAGACGCAGCGCGATGCGAGCCATGCGCAACCCCGATTGGTCGGAATTGCAGCTTGTTATAGCTTTGCTAGTACCAACGCGCCTGTGCGGTGCCGCGCGGGGGAAAATTCGATTTCCCGCCCGTGATTGACGGTGTTAGCCCTACACTTCGCCAGGCTGGCAGAAACCCTTGTCATGCCGGTTTCAGTGTGCACCCCCTATACAAGGCTGAGTGCACAGCCTACACTCCTACAAAAAGGCTGAAAAAAAAGCTAAGGCTAAAAAAAAAACACTGAAAAATCAGCCAATGTACATAACAAAAAGCTTTGGATTCAGCCTAACCCTAGAAAAAAAGCCTGATCTAACGCTGAATCAGCGTAAAAAGGCTGATATCTAGGGCACTGGAGAGGTGGTGTGCAATGGTGATGACGGTGCTGTCCTTGAATGAATTTGGAGTCAACTCAACAATCAACAATTGACTTGCCTGGTCATACTCAAGGACTGTGGAGAGGTGGTGTGCAATGGTGATGACGGTGCTGTCCTTGAATGACTCTGGAGACGTCTCAAAAGGCTTGCCTGATCATAATGCAGAACTGTGGAGAGGCGGTGTGCAATGGTGATGACGGTGCGATCCTTGAACGACTCCCGCAGGATGTCTTTAATTACTGCATCGCTCTCCCCATCCATGCTCGCTGTCGCTTCATCCATCAGCAAGACGCGTGTCGACGCCAGCAAAGCCCTGCATGGAAAACAAACACCATGAGCAAGAGAAGAGAGAAAGCAGAATACGTAGTTTACCATGTGATAACTGTGGGTCAATATTCGATTCTGAGACAAGAGATACGACCTGCATTGTGATTGCCCCCGATGTAATTCCCCATGTAATTACCTTGCAAGACAGAGCAATTGCTTCTGCCCCAGGGACAGGTTCCCCCCGCCCTGAGCCAGGGCACCATCCAACCCGCCCAGCAGCCCCGCCACCAGCAGCTTCCACCACACTGTTGAAGCACCTCAAAACTTTCCCCTACCTTGCAAGACAGAGCAGTTGCCTCTGCCCCAGGGACAGGTTCCCCCCGCCCTGAGCCAGGGCACCATCCAACCCGCCCAGCAGCCCCGCCACCAGCGGCTTTAGCCGCACCGTTGCCAGCACCGACCACAGGGCCTCGTCCCTGTGCTGGCTGTGATTGGGGCATGGGTGGGGGGGATCAGGCACGGGATGGGAGGGTATGGGGGGGAAGAAGCGGGTTTTTGGAGCGTGAAAGTGCACTAGAGGTTGAAGGATTGAGTAAATGAGAACACACACATAAGGTGCGGTGAGAACCTTTTTAGATTCGTGGTCGGAATGAGTAATCTTACCCCAGGGGATCAAGGTTGAATCGCAATGACTGGCTGAAAAGAACCGGCTCTTGAGGAATGGCCACCACCTGAAACAGGAAGGACCATTGAAAACCACAAGTTCATGCACAATAGATGAAATCAGTTAATGCATCACCCTGTCCCCTACCTTGGTAACTACTGAAAAGGTAGCCAACAGATGGAGGAAAGGAAATGCTACTTTACTGCGCAGGGTTGCAAGGGGCAGCAATGCAATGTCGGCACCGTCGATGTGAATGCTACGTTGTTGCGTACCCTTCTTCGCACGGTTGCGAGTAGTTTCGAGTCAACTAAAAAGTGCCACTTGGATTCTTACCTTGCTTCGCAGGGTTGCAAATGGCAGCGATGTATTGTCTTTAGAGGTGCATAAGAAGCCTACCTTGCTTCGCAAGGTTGCAAACGGCAGCGATGTATTGTCTTTAGAGGTGCCTCAAAGGCTTGCCTTGCTTTGCATGGCAGCGAGAGGCAGCAATGCAAGGACTCTGATGAGGTGCCTAAGAAGCCTACCTCGCTTCGCAGGGTAGCGAGTGGCAGCGATGCAATGTCGACACCGTCAATGCAAATGCTCCCTGAAGACGCTTCCTGTAGATTTGAGGACACTCGAAAGCTTACCTTGCTGCGCAGGGTAGCTTACCTTGCTTCGCAGGGTGGCGAGGGGCAGCGATGCAAATGCTCCCTGAAGACGCTTCCACCAACCGCAGCAGAGCGAGCATGAGTGTGGATTTGCCTGCACCTGATGGGTTGAGACGAGGCAGACACATAGAGAACACATACCAGCCAACACAATTTCCAGCGCTTTTTCACAGAAGTCCTGAATCACACCATCCCTACCAGGTATATCGGATCAGTTTTGAGAATTCTCCACCTTGAACCAGCCCAATCATGGTACGTTGAAATACAGAGGCAATCCCACATAGCCTCACCTGTTCGCCCCACCACACCACACTTCTCCCCTCCTGCGAGCCGAAAGCTCAAGCTGCGCAGCACTGCCTGCCCCGTGCTGCCATACCGCACCGTCAGCTGCTCCACTTGCACTGCACCTGCTGACGGCCAAGGGGGGCGAAGGGAGCTTCTGCTGTTCCCCTTCTCCTCGCTGTGTGATGCTGCATTTGTGGCTTGGCAGTTGGGGAGGAGAGGAATGTGAGCGCATAGTGATTTGGAGAGAAGGAGGCTGAATGATGTTCGCAGTGCTCCGTACAGCACGCTGAATAGTGTGGATTTTGCGGTGGACTTTTCCTGCTGCTGCTGCTGCTTCTGCTGCTTCTGCTGCTTCTGCTGCTGCTGCTGCTGCTGCTGCTGCTTCTTCTCCTGCTGATGTTGCCGTGGCTGCTGCTGCTGCTGACGCTTAGATTGACTGTTGGGGCTCGGTGGGGGCACTTCACTTGGAATCATGGTGTACTCGAGTGTGCGCTCAACACTGGTGAACTGCCATGGATGGGGTGGGGTGTCAGAGGGGCGGGGAGGCAACAATGCAGGTTATTGAGGCCCCTCAACATGCGGACTCTTCCCCTGGCTGGAATCATGGTGTACTCGAGTGTGCGCTTAACACTGGTGAACTGCCATGGATGGGGTGTTCGAGGTACAGGGAGAAAACAATGCATGACCTTGTGCAGGAGGGATGAGCTCCCTGCCTAGTTCGCACTGTTTCACGGCATGAGAATGTGATGTGGAAATAGTGTGTATCATCAGAATGCATCCCATAAGAGTTGAGTCAGGAGATGGGTGGTGCTTGCTTCCCTTTCAGCACTCTCTGCTCTGCAGATGGGGCGCATTCCTGGGTGCTTGCTTCCCCGTCCCTCCATGGTCTGCCTGCCGTGTATGTTTTTGTGAGAATTCTCAAAAAACATACACTTCAGCACACTCTGCTCTGCAGACGGGGCACATTCCATTCCTGGTTTCCATCCCTCCGCGGTCTGCCTGCCTCCGTTCATCCCTTCCCTCACTTCACTCACACCCAGAAACATCACAACCATTGCACCCCTGTCCCCTAGCCTCACCCTTTCTCTCGCCTCACCGTGTTCTCAAGCTCCGCTCCGTATTGCAGCGCCCAGCGCAGGGAGTCCGGCAGCTGCAGCAGATAAGACAAAGCCAGCGCGGCCATGGCGGGCGGCAGCGAGTGGAGCAACGCCACGGCGGCGAGGGCGGCAGAGAGCAGGGCGGCGGCAACGAGGAGGTCCAATCGGAAGCCCAGCCACTCCCACGTGGCAAGCCAGAATAGGTGCGGGGTGGCGTTGGCGGTGACGTGGCGAAGGAAGAGGCGGTGGAAGCGGCGCTGCTGGGAGAAGGCTCGGATGGTCGGCAGGCCCTGGGGGGGTGGGAGAGGAGTAGGGAGTATAGATTTTGAGGTAAGCTTGGGAAGCGCTGCGGGGAGAAGGCTCGGATGGTCGGCAGGCCCTGGGGGGGTGGGAGAGGGGGAGGGGAGTATAGATTTGAGGTGAGCTTGGAAAGTGCGTGTGACAGTGGATGCGTGGGTGTGTGTGTGTGTTGTTGAGAAGTAGAACTGAACAGAAATAACTAACAGCAGGGCATACAGGGTGCATAAGTACAAATGTCGTACCCTTTAAGGAGTAACTCAACCTAACCTACAATATGTGTTGCACATAATTTGACATGTGTGTGTGTGTGAGTGAGTGTGTGTGTGTGTGTGTGTGTGTGAGTATGTGTGTGTGTGTGTGAGTGTGTGTGTGTGTGTGTGTGTGTGTGTGTGTGTGTGTGTGTGTGTGTGTGTGTGTGTGTGTCGATGTGTGCGCGCACGCGCGCGTGCGCGTGTGTGTGTGCATTCATGGGTTCACAACAAAACTTCTGTTTTCAGCCCTGTTGACGGCCACAAAGCAGACCTTGCTACACGGGATCGTACCTCGAGGGCAGTTGGGATTCGCGACGTGACCACCACCGACCCCATCAGCCCCAGTGGGCCAAAAGCGATCAAGGGGAGGGGCAGGGCTGCTTGGGAGATGGCGGCTACGAAGACCAACCACTACCATAATCATGCAAGTAGACACATAAGGAGCACGCTGCATGTTGTGCATACCATCCGTCGCACCTCCCTTGCCGTGCCATCAGATCTAAAGCGAGGGCAAGTCTCCAGCTACCTCATCAGGTCAAATGAGGCATCCCATACTAAGAACCCGCCCCTAAGCAACCCAGGAGAAGACATCTTATCTGGGGATTGCTTTGCAGTGTTGGAGCCCAGTTGGAGCTTTTGAGTCGACTCAAAAGTTACCTCGAACCCGCCCCTAAGCAACCCAGGAGAAGACATCTTATCTGGGGATTGCTTTGTAGTGTTGGAGCCCCAGTTGGAGATCCCTTAGACACATAGGATGTCGCCACTCTTATAAATCGTACCCAGGAGAAAAAAACTTAGGCTGTTTGAGAGAAGCAGCTTACCTCAATGCTGGCAAGGAACCGAGAAAGCAGCACGCTGCGTGTTGTGCATTCCATCCGCCGGACCCCCCTCGCCGTGCACACGTACAGCTAGTGAGAGAGAGTTATGACTGATGAGTCTCACCTCCATGCTGGCAAGGAACCGAGAAAGCAGCACGCTGCGTGTTGTGCATTCCATCCGCCGGACCCCCCTCACCGTGCACACGTACAGATGCCGCAGTTGCAGCAGCAGCAGCAGCAACGGCAGTGGCAGCAGCGGCAGCAGCAGCCGCACAGTATGGGTATGAGTCGACTCAGAACACAGCTCACCTCCATGGTGGCGAGGAAGCGAGCGAGCAACACGCTCCGAGTGGTGCATTCCATCCGCCGGACCTCCCTCGCCGTGCACACATACAGATGCCGCAGGTGCAGCAGCAGCAGCAGCAACGGCAGCACGGGGATTAGTGTCCAAGGAACGGCTATGCACGCCGATACCACCGCCGCAATGCACAAGCCTACGGACTGTGGGCAAGTGAATGGGAGGGCGGGAAGGAAGGTATGTTCATAAGGGGAGAGGGATGATGGAGGATCGAGATGAGAGAGTGGTTGGCTGGACTTATGGCGGGTGCATCTTTGTGCGTTCACGTAGTAATCACCAGCTGCCGTGGCCCGTCAGCTATTATTGAACAGAACGAATTACAAGCATAACTCCAGTTCTCTAACCAACTGGGAAAAATGTGCATGTTTGTATAGTGGGTTTGGATCCACTAACTCCGGTGCCCACTTCCAACACTCTCCTCACTGGGAGGGCCCACCACTAGGGCACAGGAAGCCTGCCGACACCAGGTTTCGAACCCAGGTCCCCCGTGTGCATTCTTCCACACTCACCGCACCATGCAGGAATAAGAGGGCGGTCTCAAGTTGGGACACCATCGAAGTTCCCCCACCTGATGGCTTTTACGAGGCTGATGGTGTTTTTGGGGGAAAACCTCCCAATCTGCCCACCGAAACCCATTTTGGCGGGCAACAGATGTCGACAGCGTCGCATGTCAGGTATCCAATGAAATTGACGCGCCAGCTCGCATACCAGTGTTGGACGAACTTCGACTGGCAAAACCTAAACGGCCGAGCCTGACGGTTGCGCTTGTCGTAAAATTTTGGTCAAATCAAGTCAACATGGGTGATATTGGCAGCTTCACGTAAGCAATGCAGAAATGGGTTTCGTGGGCAGGCTGAAAAGATTTGTTGACGGCTATGTGTACGAAACTGTCATGTCTAACACCGAAGTCCCCACACCCAACAAACGTGGCACGATCTCCATTGTCGCACACTGACGGACAGGCCAGGCATTGCGACCATGGCCAGTTGGACTCATTGTGTCCAAATGTCGAACTGCGTGGGACAACTTTCAAATGTGAATTAATGCCACGTCAACATTGCGAGACGTGTGGAAGGAATTTCGGATGGTGTCCCAGCTTGAGAATGCGCCCTAACTCCAGTTTGCTAACCAACTGAGATAAAATGACATGTTTGTATAGTGGGTACACGCACCCATACCCCGCCAAGACGACACCCGTAGCCCTTGGGAAACCCCTCAGGATCATCCCAGTGCCCACTTCCAACACAATTGGGTGTGTTGGGATCACTTTTGAGAATTCTCAAAAGTGATTCCAATGTAATCCCCCAGCTCGTATTGCAACGAACGTATGGGTATGCATCTATCCCACCCATCCCCTGCTTTCCCCCAATTCTCTTCCTTCAACCCCCCTCCTTACTTCCCTTCCTGCCTTCGAGATTTTTCAAAAGTGATTCAAGCATCACCCAACCACCTTCAATTTCGCTCCTCCATCTACCCTTCTCCCCCTCACCCCATCCCTACCATACTCCCACTCACATTGACGAATCCCAGCAGCATTTCTGGCAGCACGTCGTCCGTCACCCCGAGGTCCTCACTGAACCGGTTCAGCACGCGCCCGGTGGGGTTGCGGTGGAAGAAGGCGAGCGGCGAGGCGAGCACGGAGGCCAGCATGCGTGAGTGAAGGCAGGAGGAGGCGCGCAGAGCAGCGCGGTGGAAGAGCAGCGAGGCGAGGAGAGAGAGGGCCACACAGGAGAGGGCGATGGCCGTGAGGGTGAGAAGCGGGTGGTGTATGGTGTGGGGCGTGTCCGTCCACACGCCCAGGAACCTTGTGGGGAGGGAAGGAGTGGCAAGAATTGTTGGCCGTTGTGAATGACGAAAACAGGTAGTGGCATCGAGCATGGAGCGGGAGGGAGGGACAGATGGGCAATTTTCACAGACAAATTGTTGTTGGGGCACTGGGATCATTCCCTAGTTGAGCGTGGCCAGGCTACAGGCACTTTGGATAGGTATGGGTGTGCCATCCACCATACAAACATGACCTTTTAACCAAGTCGGTATCATTTTGGGCCAACAAATGGTATCAGAGCCAAAGGTCTCCGGTTCGAGTCCTAGTGTGTGCCAATGAGCGCCAATGCCCTAACGAGCCCCAAGTGAGGGGGAAACAACCCCAGTGAGGGGCGGGATTGTTGGTAGGGCATTGGGATCGTCCTCCAGTTGAGTGTGGGAGGGCAACATGTGCATTCTGGAATTTGGGGGGATTTGGGTATGCTACCCACTATACAAATAACCACTTTAACCCAATCGATAGCAGTGTGGGCCAACACATACGGCATTGGGAACGAGGTGTGTGCTCTTGCATCCCAACAGTTACATATGCTGTGCTGTACGGACACACCACAGACGTTCAGGCAATAAAGGGGAGAACGGGGCAGGGAGGAGGGAAGGGGAAAAAGCGGGGGAGTTTGAGTGTGTGAGAGGGGGAGGTATTTTTTTTCTCACCAGCTTGCGAGGCAGTTTGAGACGTGTGCGGCGAGGAAGAGAGCTGCGATGAGCAGCAGGGGCAGCACGCCCATCTGTCTGGCGTAGCCCCAAAACACAGACAGGGGGATGGCGCCGCGCTGCCATCCCTCCACGTCCAGCAGGCCTGCAAACACACACAGAATTTTGGGGATAGCGTGGGATGAGACAAATAAAGGGCGGGGAGGGAGGGAGTGGAAACACTGATCGTCCAGCAGGCCTGCAAGCACACACACACACATCGATTGCATGGGACAGGGAGTTGGACAATTGGGGATAAGGGAAGGGCGGGGAGGGAGTGGCGTGGCGGGGGTATGATGCGGAACTGCAGCAGGGACAGCGAGGAAAGCAACACGGCAAAGCAACCTGTGTGTTTCAGAGCTGAAAGCATTGGATATGCCTTGCCAGCCTACCTTGCCTTGCCGGCCCACCTTGCGTTGCCGGCCTACCTTGCGTTGCCGGCCTACATTGATCATCACCCTCTGTGGAGCCACTCGCCTCCTGCACTCCCTCCTCCCCGCCTCTCAGCTCCGCTGCTGCTGATGCCTCTCCCGACTCGCACAGCAAACCCTCAGCAAGCTGACCCCCATGTGAGATGCACTCCCGCTCCCTGCATGCGTCTACCAGCCCTCTTGCCCCCTTTGCACCCTTCGCCGCCTCCTCCTTCTCCACCAAAACCTCGCTCCCTATCAAGGGGCAGTCATCTGTGGAATCTGTTGGAGCATCTGTGTCGCTCTCACTGCTTGAGTCACAATCTACAGAGCTGCCACTGCTGCTGCTGCTGCTGCTTCTGCTGCTGCTGCTGCTGCTGCTGTAGACCTCCATGATGCCGGTTTTGCCATCCACATCCATGTCAGTGCTGCTGCAGGAGTCGGAGTTAGAGTAACTGTCAGGGTCAGTGGCACAGACGGCACTCTCACTGTCACTGCCAGCAACATCAGAAACATCGCGCCCCGGAGGGAGGTTGCCCGAGTGTTGCGCAGAGGAGGGCAGGGCGCAGAGGTCACTCCATGCGCCACACGCCGCTGCTCTGCCGCCGTCCAGCACCAACACTCTGTTGCAGCTGGGGATGGGTGGGACGGGGGCAGATCAATCACAGAGGGAGGAGGGAGGCTGAGAATGACAGCAAGAGGACGCAGGGATAGAGAGAGGGACTTGATGGGGGTGCAGATGGAACGAAGGTGCATGTATGGTTTCTGTGAAAAAGTTCTGCTTCGCTCCCTCTTCGCCCCTTTCCCAACCCCTTCCCCCACACCCACTACCATACCTCCCAAGGTACTGCACTTGGTGGGTGACGACAATCCGGGGCAGCCCTGTCAGCAGCCCACACACGCACTGCTGAAACACGTGGCAGGCAATGGCTGGATCCAACGCGGCAAGAGGGTCGTCTAGGAGGACCAGCACTGGTGGGGGCGCCCTCCGGCTGCTGCTGCTGCTGCTGTTGTTGGTAGCGTTAGTCCTATTGCTGCTGCTATTGTTACTGCTGCTGCTACAGCTATTGCCACCGCCATGTGCATCAGTGTGTGACTGTGTTGCGCCCGCGCAGCAGTGCAGGGCGGCATACGCCGCCCGGGCGAGGGACACGCGCGCCCTCTGCCCGCCACTGAGGTTGCCGCCGCCCTCCTCCACCAATGATTCGTCGCCACGTGGCCACAGGGCCAAGTCCGTGCGCAGGGCACAGGCGTCCAACACCTTGAGTGGGAAGGAGGGGGAAGGAGGAAGAGAGAGTGCGGAGGAGAGGGCGATGGGGGACAGCGTTTGAGGCACCTCGAAAGTTGGAGCGCAGGGCACAGGCGTCCAACACCTTGAGTGAGAGAGAGGCGGGAAGGAGGAAGAGGGGGGGAAAGGAGAGGTTGAGGAGAGGGCACCGAGGAGGGCCGGCAAAGTGGGGCACTGAGAGACGTTCAAAAGCGAGAACGATCCAAGGTGGATATAAAGGGAACACAATGCGAGAATCAGCTTCTGGCCAAGCAGAGTCGAGTCGAAGCGCGCTGTGCGCGCGCTGGTGCATTATTTCACCAGTCATTACCTCGCCTTACCTTGGCATACAGTGTCTCGTCTATCGGTGTGCCGAATAGGATGTTGTCGCGGATCGTCCCCTCAAAGAGGAAAGGCTGGTGGCATGGACGGACGGACGGAAGAAGGGAGGGAGGGGAAGGGTGGGGGAGTTTTTAGTCGATGCGAAACCCGAATAGGATGTTGTCGCGGATCGTCCCCTCAAAGAGGAAAGGCTGGTGGCATGGACAGACGGAAGAAGGAGTGGAATGGAAGGTATGGGGGGCATGGGGGGGAGGAGAAGAGAGGTGGTAGGTGGCGTGAGGACATAATCGCCTCCGCGGATTAGGATGTTGTTGAATGGGGGGATGGAAGAAGAGGGGAAGGGGAAGGGGGGGAAGAGAGAGGGTAAGCGGTAAGAGAGCGATGAATTCTTAAAAATGAATTCTTGTGAAGCAGGGAAGCATCTGAGAAGAAGCAGAAAATTAAAATGAAAGGCTGTGAGAGAGCGACGAATTCTTAAAAATTAATCCTTGTGTGGGTGGAGCGGAAAGGCTGTGAGAGAGCGACGAATGGGAGAGGGGTGACCTGCTGCGATGCGTAGGCGAGGGAAGGCACGGAGCGGTGCATAGCACCCGATGAGAGAGGCACTTCCCCGAGAATACCCAGCAGCAGCAACGACTTGCCACTGCCCGTCTGCAGGGCGGCAAGGGTGGGCGGGAGGGAGAATTCCACGATGGCGGGAGGGAGGGTGCACAATATGCTGGCAGCTTCATTTTTAACAGGCAGCACAGCAGGCTGTGAGAGACAGTGGTTTGGCGCACAATATTCACAAAGGCATGGGAATGCCATAGCAGGGTGCACGCTGCAAGCTACGGGTTGCGGGTTCACCTTGCCAGTGACTCCCAGCAGCTCTGCCTCTCCCAGCCTCACGCTCACTCCCTCCACCCGTCCCCTCGGTGCCTCGCCTCGCCATCCCATCTCCCGCTGCCCCTCTTGGTCCTCCTGTGCAGTCACAGGCGCACTCGCAGCAGCAGCATCAGCAGCAGAAGAAGCAGCAGAAGCAGCAGCAGCAGCAGCAGCAGCAGGAGGGGAAGGACCAGCAGCAGCATGAAAGCCCATAAACTGCTGCGGGAAGCACATGCGGAAAGCTGAGGGGACGTGTGGGAAGCTGCAGCCGCTGCTGCTGTATAGTCTCCGAGAGGTCCAAAACATGCCCTGCGGATGCCACTTGAAGTGCATGGCTCTCTTCCTCTTTGCACTGCTCGTGCCTTGCGCTGAATCCTTCTCCCCCTTGGTCTTCCATCTCATCCTTCCCCTCACAGGTAACTTCTCCCACTTCTTCTCCCCAAGCGAAGGACGCCCCTTCAAGCACCAGGGCAGCACGGGGGATGGACGGAAGGCGTGTGGGAGCAGATGAGGAGAGGCTGTAGCTGGGCTGTGAGGCGAGTTCTGAGGATGGCGGGGACTGTAGACTGAAGAGTTTGTCCAAGGATGGTGCTGTGAGAGCAGCAGTTGTGGATTCGGGTGGCTTAGAGGTGGTTCGGGTGTCAGGGGCGGAGTGGCGCTCTTCTGGGAGCAGTGCAGAGCCATTGTGGGACGGTGCTCCTTGTTGCCTGGCTCCGTGCAGGGTGGTCTGTTGGAGTGACGGCAGCACGCACAGGCATGTGCACGCAGAGGCACACAAAGGGGATGCGATGCGATGGTACACTGAGGCACAGTGAAAACGTCATGCTCGCACCGCATTACAATTCAGCCACCCATGCAAAAGGATCCTAGTTCTGAGTCGACTCAAAACACCGCATTACAACCCAGCCACCCATGCAAAAGGATCCTAGTTCTGAGCCGACTCAAAACACAGCATTACAACCCAACCACCCATGCAAAAGGCTCCAGCCGACCAACACAGCGTGCGGTGCGCAGCACTGTGATGGCGTCGGCTCCAATGCTGCGGGCAGTGGTGTGGTGGGCACGGATAAGCGAAAGAAAGGGGGTGAAAAGCTGTGAGTGGTGCGTGGGTGAGAGCACGCTGACCTGCAGGAAGTGTGAGAGGCGCTTGAAGCTGACAGACGCCTCAGCCATGTTCTGAATGCCATGGGCCACCTTCCACCCCATGGTGTAGCGCGGGATCTGTGGGATATACGGAGGGAGGGGAGGAGGGTTTTGAGTCGACTCACAACTTGTGCTGTATGCCCAGAGCCACCTCCCACCCCATGGTGTAGCGCGGGATCTGTGGGGATACGGAGGGAGGGGAGGAAAGGGAGGGTGGGGCATGTCAGTGGGCTGAGAGCCCCTTACAGCAATGCAACTTTCCGCTTAAGATTGCCCATAGGAAGCAACAGCGCATGATATCCATCGCAATCAGTCTAATTCCCCACGCGCCTCCATGAGTGGGCGCTGTGAGAGCGCCCCTCTCCCGTCATCCCTCCCCGACTGAGGGTTACGGAAGCAAGGAAAGACGCACCTCGAGGAGTGTGAGGACGTAGAACACGGAGGAGGCGGTGAGTTGCCCTCCGAGGCAGGTGAAGGTGGCGAAGGTGACAAGGGCCACCACGGAGGTGAATGAGAAGTAGAGGCCGTCCGTCACGGCGTTGATGGCTGCGGTGCTCTGCAGGCTGCATGGAGGATGGGAAAGGGGAGGATGGGAAAGGGGAGGATGGGAAAGGGGAGGATGGAGGGGTGTCTGAGACGCCTCAAGGGCCACCACGGAGGTAAATGAGAAGTAGAGGCCGTCCGTCACGGCGTTGATGGCTGCGGTGCTCTGCAGGCTGCATGGAGGAAAGGGAGGACGGTGGAAGGCGCAGGGTGGTGGAAGGCGCAGGGTGGTGGAAGGGGCAGGGTGGTGGAAGGGGCAGGGTGGTGGAAGGTGCAGGGTGGTGGAAGGTGCAGGGTGGTGGAAGGCGCAGGGTGGTGGAAGGGGCAGGGTGGTGGAAGGGGCAGGGTGGTGGAAGGTGCAGGGTGGTGGAAGGTGCAGGGTGGTGGAAGGCGCAGGGTGGTGGAAGGTGCAGGGTGGTGGAAGGCGCAGGGTGGTGGAAGGTGCAGGGTGGTGGAAGGTGCAGGGTGGTGGAAGGCGCAGGGTGGTGGAAGGTGCAGGGTGGTGGAAGGCGCAGGGTGGTGGAAGGGGCAGGGTGGTGGAAGGGGCAGGGTGGTGGAAGGTGCAGGGTGGTGGAAGGTGCAGGGTGGTGGAAGGCGCAGGGTGGTGGAAGGGGCAGGGTGGTGGAAGGGGCAGGGTGGTGGAAGGTGCAGGGTGGTGGAAGGTGCAGGGTGGTGGAAGGCGCAGGGTGGTGGAAGGTGCAGGGTGGTGGAAGGCGCAGGGTGGTGGAAGGTGCAGGGTGGTGGAAGGTGCAGGGTGGTGGAAGGTGCAGGGTGGTGGAAGGTGCAGGGTGGTGGAAGGTGCAGGGTGGTGGAAGGTGCAGGGTGGTGGAAGGAAGCGCGTCAAGAAACATTGGTCACGGCGTTGATGGCGGCCGTGCTCTGCAGGCTGGATGACGGAAAGGGAGGATGGAGGGTGCAGGGCAGTGGACGGAAGGAGCGAGTGTTGATTTTCAGGGATGGAGTGCATGTAGCTGGAGTGATTATATGAGGAAAATGTGGGAACGGAGGGGCGGGAAGGGAAGGGGGAAGAGAACAGTGGTGGGAGTTGGAGTTATTGACTCACAACGACACTTCTGTCCGCCTGAGTCGTTTGATGATTGCCGTGAACACCCGTTCTAGCGCCAGTATCTTCACAGTCAGGATGCCGCCGAAAGCCTGTTGTGAAGTGACGGGGTGGGTGGGTGAGTGATGTTACTGGGGCACTGGGGTCGTTCCCAGTTGAGTGTGGGAGAGACACAGGTGCGACCTGGGGGGTTATAGATACCCACTTAATAAACATGTCCTTCCAGCCCAGTCGGTTGCAGGCTATGTTGCGGAAGACGCGTCTTGCGTCTTAGACGGATGCGTCTAGACGCAGCGTCTTAGACGCAAGACGCATTTCAGTGCCGAAAAGACGCATATTAGACGGAAACCCGGGCAGGCCTAAAAAAAGGTTCGGGCAGCCTAAAAAACTTCTGTGGGCAGTGGGGAGGGTGATGGACATGCACATATGTCACATTAGGGGCAAATTTTCCCCGTACCATAGAATTTTCCCTATACTAGGCGAGGACATGGTTGCGAGAGGGAACTTGCAAAACCCTAAAGGGTTTTTGAAAGAGAATTGGTAGACATGAGAGATGGGGAGCACAAATGGGGGCTTTGTGCTCCCCAACCTCTTGGTGGTTTGCCTCAATAGGTTCGGTTTTCTAGATGTTGTGCGGTGCACTGCGATATTTATTCAAATTTGGTAGGGGGGGGGTATCAATTTTGCAAGGGGGGCTGGTTTGTATGGTCGAAATGGGTGGGATTGGGTTCATACGGCGCGAAATTAAATTTCGCCTCGAAGTCGCGAAATTCGAACTCGGCCGCGGATTTTTTTTTTTTCCCGGGCTGACCGAATTTTTTTTTGCCAAGCGTCTTGCGTCTAAACACGCGTCTTGCGTCTTGCGTCTGTCGTGCGTCTTCCGCAACACAGGTTGCAGGCTGGACCAATAATTGGTATCAGAGCCAAAGATCTCGGGTTCAAGTCCCAGTGTGCGACAGTGAGCGCCGCCAATGCCCTAACGATCCCAAAGCGAAGGGGAGAGGGCCCCAGTGAGGGGGAGATCGTTGGTGGGGCACTGGGATCGTTAGGATGGTAAGCAAGAAAGCACGGGAGAGGCCACCTATATGCTATGGCACAGTGCAATTCCATTGACAGGCCGGCGGGACGGGGCCATGTCCAGGGACATGACACATTCCACAATTGTCTCATCACACCGCGTGTGTTATACGTTCCTCGTCTGCTCCCTTCTTGCTCTTCTCTCCCCCACATTCCTCTCGTCTCACTCTCGCTTACTTTCCCCTTCTACCGTAACTAACACCGCAGAATAATCACTCCGACAGCTGTTTTTTACCCTCTATCGGAGTCCTCCCCTTGCTTCCCTTCCCACCTCCACAATGGATTATGGGCTCCCATCCCCCAACCCTTGGCCTCTACCGTTGCCTCCTGCAAGCTTCCCCTCCCCCACCCAACCACTCCGTTCCCCTATCCAACCCCTCTCTTCCCCTTCCCCATCCAACCCCTCACTTCCCATCCCCCACCCAACCCCTCTCTTTCCTCTCACCCCTCTCCTCCCTCCCTAACCACCCACCTCCTCTGTGTGCTTGACGCGTGCATCCGTGGCCTCCGCCGTTTGCTCTCGCTGCCGCACGCTCCACTTCCCACACGCCAGCTGGTGTTGATTGATTATTTGGGGGAGCAGGGAGTGAAACGCGAAAGAGGAATGGAGGGAGTTTGAGGGGGCAAAAGTGCAATGCCTGCACCCAGCTGTTTTTGTTTTGTTATTTGCTTGTTTTGGGATGAAACGCGTAACGGGAGTGGAGGGAGGGACCGGAATGATCTTGACAAAACAATGAAGAATGAGTAGAAGAATAAGCTCTTGGAAGGGCCTCGGGGCCTTAAGTACCCACGGCAGAGTGCGCAGAGGGCAGAGGGAAGAGGGCTGATAAGGCTCGGTGCTAAGCTGTCTCTCTTTCACTCTCTCCGCCGAAAACGAAGTGACAACAAACCACGGACCTGTAGCGGAAGCAGTAGCAGTTGCGTGCCGATGCCAGCAATGGTAGGCACCCATCCGATCTCCCTCGCTATCAGCCACGTGACCATCGCAAGCTCAATCGGGGCCTGCGTAACGGAAACAGGGTAGCAAGAGAAGCAGCCACAGGAGAACACCCGCAGGAACGTGGGGAATGCATCAAGCGGACGAAGGCAGTCAATCACAAAACGTGGCTGGCAACCTTGTGCAGGTGGGTAGGACAATCGCTCTTGGCCTTTTTGAGTCGACTAAAAAATCGAATTATCACACGCGGGGAATGCATCAAGCAGACGAAGGCAGTCAATCACAAAAAGAGGCTGGCAACCTTGTGCGGGTGGGTAGGACAATCGCTCTTGGCCTTCATCCCATCCACTCCCTCTTCTCCCCCACCACCACAGTCCCCAACTCCACGCCACTCCATTCCACAAGCACTTCTTCAAATCAAACGGCCCCGTCTCACATCTGTTGCCCCCGTCCCCCCAAGCGTCATCCCCTGTCCCCCCATCCGTCATCCCCCATCCGTCATCCCCGTCCTCCCATCCCCCACCTGGCACCCCACCCCACCGTCCTCTTTGCCTCACCACCCATAGGGCTTGGCCGCAGAACACCAAATCCTCCAATCCCCCATCCGCCATCCGTCATCCCCCACCCGTCCCCCCACCCACCCCACCGCCCTCTTGGCCTCACCACCCAGAGCGCGTTGCCAAAGAACACCAGGTCTTCCAATCGGCGCACGTCATTGGACAGCAGGTTGATGCAGTGCCCGCTGCTGACGTGGCTCAGCGCGCTGGCAGTGAGGGTGAGGAGGTGGCGATGCACTGACAGGGAGAGGACGGGTGTGGAGGGGAGGAAGACTGAGTTGAATTTCAAGACGAATCAAGGCTCAGCTGGTTTATTTTCTTCTGGTTTTGAAGCTGACGCTGACGGCCTGCCTGCCCATTGCCTCCCTCTCTCCTCACCTGCGCTGATCCCGGCAGTGTGTGTGTTGGTGGAGAGGATGTATGAGCGGTAGCACAGCTGCTGGCTCACCACGGTCAGCACCACCGCCACTGACTTTTGAGGCGCTGCAAGGGTTTAGGCACTGCTCCCTCTTCTCACCCACCTGCGCTGATGGCAGCGGTGTGTGTGTTGGTGGAGACAACATACGAGCGGTAGCACAGCTGCTGGCTCACCACGGTCAGTGCCAGTGCTGAGGCGCTGCAGGGGTTTAGGCACCGCCCCGTCTTCTCACCTGCGCTGATGGCGGCGGTGTGTGTGTTGGTGGAGACAACATATGATCGGTAGCTCAATTGCTGGCTCACTACGGCCATCACCACCGCCACTGCGCCCAGCCCCGCTACCCTCCGTGGGCGCGGGTTGCCCTGCCACACTGCTGCTGCTGCTGCTGCTGCCACACGCTTCAAGGTAGGCGATCTGGTGGAGGGGAAGGAGGGGGAAGGCGGGCGATTGATGGAGACTGAGGGGGAGTGGGGGAGGGGTATGAGTTATGAGAATAGTATGCTAAACGCGAAAGGTTTTTTTTTTCACCTTAGGCACTCACCATTTGATACAGCAGCACGGCTTTGCCTACTTGAAGCATCGACTCCCCTAGAAACAGCACTGCAAGAAGCAGCAGCTGCCACCGGTGCGGCCAATACAGAGCCGCCCACAACGGCCACTTCCGCCTGCCCCCCGCCCACAGCGGACCAACGCGGGCCACCGCACGATACCATCGCGGGCCCCTAGGGGCAACCATCCCCCCATCCGCCCGAGTTCTGAGATGCCTCACCGCACCATCCATCCGTCCAGCGCGGGCCACCGCACCCTCGGGGCAATTATCCCGCCATCCGCCCGACACCACCGACTGACCGCTTTCCCTTCCCCCCCGCCTTCCCCCCCCCTCCGCTTCCCGATTCTCCTCCTCCTTCCGACCCTCCCCTTGCAAGCGCGCCGTTTGCGCGTCCAGCCATTCCGCGCGGCAGGTGCGGGGGGGCGGGGGGAGGTCCGCCAGCTGCAGCGCTCTGCGCGCGCCCATGCGCACTATCGGACTCACCTGCGCGCGGCATTGATTAGGGGGAAAGGGGGGGATTGGAGATGAGAGGCAAGAAAAGTGAGTCGCGCACACGCAACCTAAGCTCCCTAGGTCGAGTCGCGCAACCTGAGTCGCGCTACGCCGAAGGAAGCAAGGAAGAGAGATAGTTACTTGCATAGAACCAAACAACCAGCCAGCCAAGCAGGCAGCGCGCTCACCCATGCAAACGTCAATGCCGACCATAGGCTCGGCTCTCCATCGTCCCCCTCGCCTTCTTCCACCTCCCCCGGGGAGAAATCATCAGCAGCACCACAACCAGCAGCAGAAGCAGCACTGCTGCTGGTGCCGTGGCCATCACCCTTGGCCGTCGCTTCTGCCGCCGATCGTCGCATCGATGCGCTGCCATCCTCGCGACTGTCGCACGCCCCTGCGAGCAGCAACCGTCCTTCCTCCTTGTCGCAAATGTCGCCGGTAATTGTCGCATCGTCAGAGTAGTAACACGTCTCGCTGACACTCCGATCAGCGGCCACAGGATTGCCGGTTCGCTGCTGCTTCTGCTGCGGCTGCTCCAGGTCCAGGAATATCATAATCTCGCCTCCGTCCATTGAATCGCAACTTCGGAGACACTGGTCGGACTGGGGTGCTGCTGGCACCTCGACCCGCCTCAACTGTCGCTGTCGACAGGTAAAATCTGTTGCTTTCGTGTCGCTTGGCTGCCTACGACGGAATTTCCTGCTTGCTTTTACTGTCAGTCTGTTATTCCATCGGTCTGTTCGCCCGTTCGACTGAACTGGGTCTCCCCCCCCTGCTTTGGATAGAAATAACTCGCACGCGTCTGGTTGTCCAATAGTTGGTGAGCATCGGTATCTGTTCTGTTAGACTCCTTTCTGGCTATCGTCTTTCTCAGTCAAAATTTCCCGCTATGGTTCGCTCCTCCGTGTAATATAGCCAGGATTGCTCGGATCGTCGTGTTGAATCGATAAGCTACCGAGACGAGAAAAGGGCTGATGCGTGAGATTCTTTTGTCACGCACTTCGTGAAGAAGAGAGCTTGGTTGATTTGATTGTACGAGAGGAAATGAGCTGGCTGGCAGCAGCAGCAGCAGCTAGAGTGTCCAGGGTAGTCGCAGGTTCAAGTTTCAGCCCCCTGCTGACCGTGAGAGGAGAGAATTTCTCCAGTGGCCAATTCGGTGATTCATCCTTGCTCGGGGGGCCTCGAATTACTCGAGTGGCCACCCAATTTGGTGATAATTACTCGAGTGGCCACGCCTGGGGATTTTTGCTGGCTTTTTTTTCACCTGCGCATTACCCTACGGGGCTTTGTAGCCCCGAAATTCCTCATTCGTGCGAGTGGTATCCCGAGGTAGTGTACCGTTCTGTTCCGCACCCGAAAATTTCGCCAGGCTCACGGACGCGAAAGTGGCCCGCCCACTGTACAAGAAACCGACCAACAGTACATTGGCCACTCAGTTTCGGCCAAATGCACGACCAATGCGCGCGGTCAATCTAATTCCGAACCAATCAGCGATCGAGCAAATAACTTCACGATCATATACTGCATTTGACCCGAAACGAACCGCCACAGCAATAACGACCGCGCTCGATTGGTCAGGAAATATGCGCAGTGCATTTGTTGCCACTGCGCGTCCAATCAGGCGCAAGCATTAAAGCGACGGGCAACTTTTGGCAGTGTTGGGTTCAGAAGTTTTTTTTTTTGAACTAGGCTTGCCAGCGCGAAAGTGCTGGCTGGTGAAAACCAGGATTTCGTGCGGACACTTTCCATCCGCAGTAACAGTTCGCCAGGGTTCTGGGTTTTGGGTGGCAAATGTGCACCGTCGCTTTAAGGATTGCCGATCACATTTGAACGCGTTCATTAAACAGAATTTTCTATATGATCCCGCCAATCATATACTAAATACACTCGCACAAAAGTTAAACTCTGGCCGATTAGGTTCGAAGTAAGGCGCTCAAACTGGTTTGGTACGCCCTTTTCATCTTCCCGCGCTTTATCATTTGATCCATATGCTACAGATCGCTCACACCATTTCCTCTCGTCGTTTTAGGGTTGACATCTACCTTAGCCTTTGATTAGACCAGTTAGGTCCTTATAGGATGTTCATCTAGGAGGTCCTACGGTTAGAACGTTCCTATTAGCCGCAATGAGTTCGACGTCTTATACTTCTAAAACAGAGGCCGACTCAGGCGATGACGACACAGAGTTTTGCTTCGTTGGAACTGGAGAGCCCAAACAAAGCGATATGTACCGTGCGTTGCTCCGGGAAATGGTCGCCGACGAGGCTCCCTCGCCACAAATCGCCATAGACGATCGAGCACCGTTGTGTGAAGGTCAACTATACTCCTCTAAGCAATTTTTGTACGAAGCACTGGAGGACTATTCGGTAGCTTGCAACTTCGCATTTAGGGTTACGAGGAGTAGGCGACACAGAGCCCAAGCCATATGCATGAGTCAACATGAGCGTCGTAAACCTGCGTGCCGGTGGTGGTGTGAGTACTCTACTGACGGAGTGGGTGGGTTTTGACGTGTTGATAAACTGTCCGCCCCATCATCCCACTGCTGCTCACTCGTTGATCGAGACCGCTACGTGAAACACACGACAAATAAAGTGTCCTATCTGCAGCGTCATCACGGCAATCTTGTCCATGCTGCACCACATCACCCTCCCGGGACGTACAAGGAACAGATTGCGTCTACCGGTGGTCCCGATATTAATTATCAGCAATCATGGCGGTATGATTCCAAGCATTCATTCCACATGACTGCCATTGTCACATGCAAGTTCTTAATCACCCCATCCACCTCATGTTTGTGCTACCTGCTTTTGTTTTCTTGCACACCGTCGTCCGTTTTTGCAGGCTCAAGGAAAAGATGTTGAAGGAACGTTTTGGAGATTGGAAAACTTCTTTCCGCTACTCGCCAGGCCCTGGGTTCGATGTTATCGCACTCGCATAACGTTATGTGCCAATGACGGATAAAGACTAGTTTTTTTACTTGTTTTCTATTTTGAAAAATAAGGGTTGTATACGCCAAAATACGAATATAATCATTTGTGATACACAGTCAGTTCACAACTAAGTGTAATGTTCAACCAGGATCCACGCATATTTTCTCATGCAGCTGGTTGGGGAGCTGTGTCTACACTGCATTACGACTTTCTAAACGGGAACGTATGGAATATAAATTTCCTTCTTCTTTGTGTATGCATGGCAAAACGAGATTTAACATTGTGTCAGTGGAGAGTCCCTACCATGGCATTAAGAGATTTGGCTATGACGTCCTCGAAATCAAAATTAGTCAATTACATTCACTCTGACATGAGTTCAATACTTCCGCTGAGTATACATGCTATTAGCATATCAGTCAATTACATTCACTCTGACCTGAGTTCAAAACTTCCGCTGCAAATGTCAGAATAGTGAAGGAACGAATGACTGAACTAGCAAACAGGTGGGTACAAGTAGGAAACCTAAAAGTGTTGTACCCTATATGAACTACCCCACTACAGCCTACACATACTATAGCATATAAGTTTGACACACCCCCATAGGCAAAGTGGGGGAGAACAAGAGGTCACAAGACCGGTCAAGAAAGGCAAAGCAAGCTCAGGGTGGATCACGACGTCACCACGCATTCTGAGCACAAGCAAATGGCCACAAGGCCAGTTCACATGCAGAGTTATATAAAGGAGAACAAGCAATACAGTGATCACAACCTAGCAAGTGTAAGCATGCAGGTATAGGTATAGAGATCACAGTACAAGCAGAGTCAAGAAGTAAGCAAGTGAGGCACAGTAGGCACAAGGCCTAGAATAGTACAGAAACGCTGATGATCACAAGGTTGAAGCGCCTTGGTGAAGACATCAGCAGTGTTGGCCTGAGTGGCCACGTAAGCAAGACAAAGCTGACCACGCTGCTGCAACTCTCGAGCAAGGAAGTAGCGCAGAGCGATGTGCTTCGTTCTGTGCTCCAGTCTGTGCTCCTGACACAAGGCAATCATGGCCTTGTTGTCGACGTACAGCACTGGAGGAGAACGAGGCGGCTCTCCCAGGTCGGTCAGCAGGTAGGTGAGCCAGCGTAACTCCAGTGCAGCCATGGCCCCTGCGTAGATCTCAGCCTCACAACTGGAGCTGAGAACAGAAGACGAGTGGGTAGACCGCCAAGAGAAAGAGCCGGAGCCAAGACTGAAGGTGTAACCCTGTGACGACCGCTGCGTAGCCAAGTCGTCAGCCCAGGAAGCGTCTGCATGACCAGTGAGGACAACTCGAGCCCGTCCTCCAAGAACGAGCCCCATGCTTGACGTACTGCACAAGTAGCGCAACACCCTCTTAGCGGCATCCATGTGCTCCTTCCTGTGTCGGCCAGGAGCGACATAGCGTGCTAGAATGCTAAGAGGGTAGGCAAGGTCAGGTCGAGTGCAGGTCATCAGGTACATGAGGCAGCCCACAAGCTCTGGATACGGGCCACTCGGCTCTACGGACTCGTCTGAAGGTGGAGCTGAGAGCGAGTGACCGGTAGGCAGAGGAGTGGACTGTAGCGAGGAGTACGTGAAGCCGAAGCGCTGAAGGACCTGCTGCACCATGTGTGACTGAGTCAAGGTAATGGTGCACTGTGCTCTGTCCCGGGTGATCCGCAAGCCAAGATAGCTTGTCAGCTCACCCAGGTCTGTGCACGTGTGTCTCTTCTGCAGCTCCGACTTCACGTGGGCGAGTCCCTCAGTGTCAGCAGTAGCAAAGACCAAGTCGTCTACGTACACGAGAACGTAGAACGGCGGCAGAGTGGTGTCGGTGCGTAGAAACAGCGACGGGTCAGCAGTAGAAGGAGCAAACCCAAGAGCAGCAAGAGTCGTCCTCAGTGTGTCGTGCCACTCACGGGGTGCCTGGCGGAGACCGTAGACTGGCCGCCGGAGGCTCCACTGGGTACCAGCAGGAAACGACCTAGTGAAGCCAGGTGGGCGGCGCAGCCAGATTTCCTCGTGCAGGCTTCCCTGTAGGAAAGTAGTGCTGAAGTCAAGAGAGTGAAGCTCGTAGTCACGCTGAGCGGCGACGTGCAGCAGCACCCGAAGAGTGGTCATCTTCGGGGTAGGGGAGAAGGTCTGGAAGAAGTCAACTCCCTGTCGCTGACTGAAGCCTCGTGCAACGTAACGCGCCTTGAAGACAGGCGGAGAACCCAGCGGCCGCTTCACCCTGAAAATCCACATGCCACTGACGATGTTCGCCCCAGGCGGGGGAACCTCGTCAATGTAGGTGCCTGTGGACTTCCAGGAAGCCATCTCTGTGTCCATGGTTGTCTGCCACTGAGTGGAGTAGGGACCCTCTATCGCCTCTACGTAAGAGCGCGGGGTCAGGATGTCTGGTGCATCCGGGTCTCCCTCAGGGGCAAGCAGCATGGACACGAGATGAGGTAAAGCAGCGGCAAAGCACTCAAACTCCTCCTGCCTGTCCTCAAGAACGTCCGTGCCAAGAGCACACTCACCCTCGACGGACGGAGGACAGACAGACTCAGACTCAGACTCAGCAACAAGGCTAGCGGCGTAGTCTAGACGACAGGCGGCAGCAAAGTCAACAAGCTCAGCAACGAGAGCAGACGCA